AGCACTGTGGGTAAGTGTACGCAACAACAAAAAAATATATATTATAGAACATAAACAATATTATTTTATAAAATTTTTCATCATAGTTACTTAAAGTAATCAACAAAATCGTCTTAAATCAAAATATGAGATCAACTTGAACTTCGAAATTTTTAGTTACTTCGTCATACATGTATCACAAATAAAAGTGCCGTGTTCGGAGCTGGTGCACTGTTCGTGCCACCAGGCTCCACAACGGCTACATTCAATCTAATCTTCATTCGGTGGATCAGAATACTTTTCGCTTCCAGCTGTTCATCTGTGACGATGCATCTATCCGGAGCTTTCCTCAGATAATCTCGAGGCATTTTGATTTATATTTGTACGCCAAAACAAAACATAGCAACACATGTACAAAGAAATGCAAGTTGCGCACACTTACACGACAGGCTTCTGCGCACACTTAACCTAAACCATAGAAACAGGATTGTATGAATATCGTTGATTATTGCGTCATCATAACAACTTAAACACAGGCAAATAACAAACTTGATATTATGTTGCACTCGATAGCAAAAAGCATTTTTTCAAAAAATTTATATAACTACAAAAGATTACGCGTCAAATGTGACAAAATATCGTAAATATTTTAGCAAAAATCTTCATTTACCTGTCAATCCAAAATGGCGTTCTAGCAGCCGCTGTAATACGAGCGTTTCGCTGGACGTCCCGTGGGGTAACAAAGAGAGGGGTTCCCGTTCCTTAGCGCTATATATTTTTCAAGATATTGAGAATGCGCACACTTAGACGCTGCGCACACTTGACCCACATGACTCTACCATTAATTTTGATTTTCATTTACCAACTACGTACTTCTCACAATGCTGTTTTTGATTCAGACATGGTGAACGAAACGTTTCCTAAGCAATAGAATAATGCACATGCTTACATTATTTTCTTAAAAAATTCTATTCTTTGGGTACTGTGAATGATCTCTAATAATCCAGGAACTAGCTGCTATTTTAAGTGTATTATTTGAAGAAAGCTAGGAACTTATCCTAGTATTCATGACGTGCTGCTACTAAATGAAATGGATGTCAGCTTGCTATTTGCTGTAGAAAAGTGCTGGGCTGATGCAGTAATAAATATCATGCGCCGGCGTGTATTGCGATGCACCGAACCTTTTGATCGTCAGCGTTTTGATTATTTATGTATTTTACAAGGATTTTTAAAATGTTATAAAATAGAGGCAGAAACAGGAGTTAGGAGGGGTAGAGGTAGACCTAGATTAGATTACTATAAGAGTGGAGGTACGTGTCCAACCAGTCTTAGGACTGACGACCTTATGATGATGATGAGGTTTAATTAACATTAACATATGTTGATTCGGGTAAATAGTTTTCATTTTACTTCAAAACTTCCATTAGCTAGACCTTATTACCCGCACTTGCCTTACTTGTGCGGTAGCTGCCGCAGCAATATCACCGTAAATCCACTTTGGTTATAATATAAAACAGAAGGTCACCGTTATACATATTTATATCGTAGTTCCTTACGAACGCTATAGCTTACATTCTAATAATTTTTCACACAAATGTACATATATAGATTGAGAGATATATATTGATACAGATATTTATTCAATTGTTGCCTAAGTATTGTTTATTTTGAAATGGCGATTTCTTCAGAGGCTTTTATAACCAGCTAAATAATATATTGGTGACTTGTCACCATTTCCGTAAGTGAGTTGGAGCCTTTCTCCTTAGAAGCAATTTCACGTGGAGCCATTTTGATAAAAACGTGTTATTACATTATCGCTTACATCTTAGACGTGCACGAGTACGAGCACGAAGAAAATATAATTTGCTGCTACATGACTTGGTTTTTAAAAGAAAAGAAAATCAAATCAATAGTTTTAGTATTTACAGAATAAAGAATAAGTAACAGTAAAGCTTAAAAAACAATGATCTTTTTAAAGTCCGTTTTATTGTTTTTTCTTTTTTCGTTGTGTGTTAAAAGTGAAGACAATAAGTATACAAATGGCTCAGTACCAACAAGTATATTTTTAACATAGGTATCTAGAAAAAATACAATTACAACACAGAATGTTTTAGTTTTAGCTGCATTATCATCAAATTTACTAGGAAATTCATCAAATAATCCCATCTTAGAAGCCCTTTCTCGTAATGGCACGTTCGAATGTCTCCAGTCGGTAAAAGCAATACAAAACGGAATAATTAAGGGTGAAAGTTGGGCCATACAGTGTAAGTTTTACTATATAATAAGATAAATCGTATAAATTCCATGTTGAAAAACAAACAGCCTAGAATGATTAATCTAAATTCGAAAGAATAACGTACAGAATAAAACTTTTTCAATTTATAAACATATTTCTACTTTAAATGTCTGTATGTACCTAAAACATCCTAATCCTAATATAAATGCATATAAAACCTGGACTGATTTAATTTTTTGAAGCATACATTGCTTTTTGTATAGTTTTAGATGCTAACCCAAGTATGAGAGCAGGGTTTTTTGATGTGTTTGATATGGCTTATAGTCACTTTGATGAATGTATACATATTTTGCCAAGGACATCTAATATTTCGTTCCATGGAAGGCATTGCTGGGGAGCACTACCTGTTTCAATGACCAATTTTTATAAGTTGAATACGAAAATTTTCCCAAATAGTAAAAAGGTATCTGAAGAACAATATAAATTTTTGGCCGCTAATTAATCGAAACTATCAGACGTGGATCTATATATCATTCGCACGTCATAGATAGTTTTCATAAATCACCGATTAGACTGAAGGAGGTCTTAACGAGGTCCTTACATCTATTAAATAGATCATTGAAATTGAAATTAATTACGAAATAAGTCATATAGAACTGTTTTGAAAAAAGTTGAGAGCACCTTACAGAATTTTTGAAAAATATATATCATTTTCAAATCTTTGGAAATATAGGTCTATCTCTATCCCTCCTAACTTCTGCTTCTGCTTCTAATATGTCTCTGACTAGACCTTCATGTCTGAGAAGGTGTCCTACTAACCTATTTCACCTATTCCTCGTTGACTTCCATAGAATCGTCTGTTCTCATATTCTTTCTAATACCTCTTCATTTCTAACCTTTTCTACCCAAGGCGACACGGCCCTGCGCTGTTCTGTGTCCCAACTACTCCTTCCGTCCTGACATATCTGACTTCCTAGATATCTAAAATCAGCCACTCATCAGCATTCATTCATTATGGATGCTCGGCTGGTATACTTTGTTTACTTTCTCTAGCGATATGCCTCTTCCAATGTCTTGGATCCGCGCTGGCAAAATCGTAGGTAGGGAGAAAAAAGCTCATTATACTCTCGCTTCTTGACCATTAATCGTACTTTTTCATGCAGTACCTGCCAAAAGTTTTGTTCAAGTTGTAGTGCGAGTCGAAAACAGGCGTTAAAGCTTTTAATATGTCTTCAAATTTAAATGAACATCTAGTTGATATTTTCAGTAGTAAATGGCACCAATAACAGCAGATTTGAGCAATGCAATTGTAGTGGATAGAATGGTCAATTTTTCCGTGCAGTACTGTAATGATTATACGCTCCTCACCGGTTAAAAGTTTGGTCGAGAGTTGTCTCCTTTCTTTTCTATCCTAGTGCTCTTCTTTTCTACTTTGCGCCTGTCAAACTAAAGGTCACATCGCTAGAGAAACTAAACGAAGTATATGTCGGTAGCTCCAATTCTGTTCGCGGCCGATGTGTAACTTTTTTTCATTTGCTTATTTATTTATTTTTTACTAATGGAATGAGCGTTGTCGTTGCCGTGTCTTTCTTTTTGTGACTAGAAGCTGGGTATTAATATTAAATATCACGGTCAGCTTCTACGCACATCTCTTTCTCTTCAAAATTTGTCGTAATATAATAGAGTAATTCGCGGATAGATGACGCGGAAGGTGAGATTGTGCAATGGCATTATGGGGGAAAAGCTATTGTTGAAGACGGGTATAAACATATGAACGTATCCTTGACCGTTGCCTAAACGGTCGAGTATCCTAGGTTACAGAGAAATTAAATAAAATTAGAATCACTTGCACCAGCAATTTTAATTTTTTAATTTCAACCGAGTAATGATCTCAGGTGGGTAAGTAAAAATACTCAGATTTTCTAGTATCGCATTAAAATTATCGATATTTTATATCTACAAAGTATAGACTTAAAGGAAGTTTGTGCAGTTGGCAATTAATGTGTGAAACCTCACTCGAAAAAGAAAACATCCTGTGGCGTCTTCCAATAAAACACTTTTGAGAAATGTACCCTCGGCAAAATGTCGGGTAACCTGTTCCGACTGTTACACTGTTCATTAATTCGGTTCGACAAGGAAGTAAGCATTTGACAGAAATTTTCACTGAAGGAAAAGAAATAAATGAAAGAAGAAGAATCAAACCATCAAAGGAACACCGAAAGGAAAAATTAATAGCAGTTGCTATGAAAACAAGTCATCAACAGGATAGTGCTAAAAAAATTCAAAGCTCAGTTTGAAAGCAGTCCTACTGCACAAAGGCAAACTTTTTTATTCTATTCCAATTGGTCAAACGTGAAGGACACTTACATGAATATGAAGTTACTTCTAAAGTCAGTCGAATATGGACATCACAAAAGGCAGATATGTAGTTTATATTAAGTACTATTATTTCCTGTGTTTGTGTGACATTTGGGATAGAAAATCTCACTACATGAAAGACAAAAGACCTTCAAGAAGTATTAATCCTAGGGAGAGATCTTTGCAAAATGAGCCTTTAGAGCATTCAAATAACATTCTGCTTCCTTGACGTTACGTTAAGATTAATGAAGAAATTTGTGAAAGCCATGAACCAGAATAGCGATGCTTTCAAATACCCAAGAGCAAAATTCCTATGATTGAGTGAAGCATAGAATAAGGAGGGAATCTTTGTCGAATCTCAAATGAAAATAATTTTTAGGAACACTGCCTTTTAAGAAATTTTGAAGCATGGAAAGCCTCTAATGGCGTGGTACTTTCTAGGCAGCAAAACAGACAACTTTGATGTAAGAACTACTGTCTATACCTTGTCAATATGTATCTCAAGATTCATTTTCTTCTCTTCCATCTTGATTTATCTTCTGATAACTGGAGCTGTAAAAATATCACAGGAATTAATGTCTTTTTTAAATTGATATCTTTATCGGAGGATTGTTATGTATCTTGAAAACAAGAACTAATGAAAATTGTTGTCATATTAACAGATTAAATTTTTTATTCTTTTATGCAGTATAATTAGTAGATGGCGAAATACCTATTGTCATAATTATTTATAGATTTTGTATAATATCCAGATGTATACAATATATCGCCATCTAGTGGGGTTTTGCTGCTAATGTATTATATGCCCCAGTTAAGGTGCCCACTTGTCTGAGTAAACGCTGCAGCATATATATTGTCACGTATTTCATCTCCTCACACTACTATTACTTTTATTTAACAATTTACTGTCAAAAAAAACTTTTGGGTGTATCATTCCCACCAGCTGGTGGGAGGGCAGACGCTCCGGACTACGCTGGAAGATAGGGCGGAAGGCCCTCTTCAGCCTCTTTCAGGAATCGTGCGAATGAGTGAGTGGTGGTTCGGGTGAAAAAGATGAGACGGATGAATTGAAGACAGAAGAGAATTAGAGATTATCTGTGAAATATTGCTGCCCCAGCATTTGCCTAAGTGATCTAAGGAAACTACAGGAAAACGTGAACATCCTAATCTCCTAATGATCGAGTTTCTATAATATCCAAGTATAATATCAACACCAACATGGTTTTAAGGGCCTTTGAATACTACTCTAGTTTCAGACGACAGACATTAAATAAAAAATTGAAGTATGTTTTATCAAAAAGGTATCTGCTGGATACAACTGGAACACATGCGAAGATAGATCAACAGCAATGCGATTTTTATTCAGTTGAAATATTTTCAATTTGATAATGCTTCTCTATCGAGGATTATGGAGTTTGCGAACCTGTGCAGTGGTTGATCAAGAATAAAACATGTTTAGAGTTGAGAGAACACATTTAATGATTACTTCAATCATATATAAAAATGTTGTGCAGGGCTACTTATATTGGGCGATACCAGAAATAGCAACAATAATACATACAGATAGTTATTTATAATCATTTAACATTCATCCTAATGAAAATATTGTCATATGCTTTATGTGAAAAATAATAAAATAAGAGAACCGTAATGACTTGCGAATTACTACTATGAAATAAATGTTTTACTTCACAAAATTACGCAACAAAGTAGCGGTAGTAAGCTTATCGATAAAAGATTGACCCTTAAATGACATTTGTAACTCAACGTGTAGACTGAAACAGAAATTCTTTAATATAAAAAAAATTTTATTGGTTAAAACATTTCCGAAAATACTAAAATTTTTACAGCAGCACATGCTTATTAGTTATTGATAATGGGTACAATAAAGCTGAAAGTTAAAAGCTAGACTTGCGGATATTCTTGCAATTTAAAATGAATAAAGAAATTTTTTACTTCTTTTTTATCAATTTGGAAATGGATCCATAAATATTACATTAGGAACGAAATTTATAGGAAAAAAAAGTCAAAGGAAAATTAATATCACTTTCAGAATTTTCCTTATTCAGATTAAATCGGAGAGCTAGCTGCTTTCCTTTTCGATTTTTTATATTATAACGGTTTGGAGTAATTTTAGACAAAAAAAGAAACAGAAGAGTACACTGTCGTGCGACCTCTCTTTGAAGGTATTTCCGATACTGTTGCAACCTTCACATTTTGCATTCCCAGCACATGTGAACCAGAACCGATGCAAAACGCACTAAGAGAAATATTATCAACGAATATAACACTTAAAAGCGGAATGTGTTATCAGGACCCCAGTCTTGAGCCCTTAGACGTTGCAGTTTTGTATGTTGCATTACATAATGTATGACAAAAATTTATTAATAATCTTACTGTTTAATTTTTGCAGAGGTATCTTTGCGATATGGTTTATAATCATCATCGTGGCAACAATTCATGACAGCATAACTTTAGATAAGAAGGGTGAGTAGGTATGGTTTTCATTATTTATATATGTCACTGCCATTACTGATGTTGCTTATATTTTTGTTTATATACTCTACCAGAAATACTCTGCTGAATACCCTACACTTTACAGAGTCAAGAATTCCACTACTGATATCATTTTCTGCCTATGCAAATTTAAAATATCTTCTTAAAGAAGATAAACGTAATCAGCGCATGTATTTTCTTAATGGGTTGAAGGTACTGAGTACATTTACCGTAATATTTGGACATCGTCATTTTATTTTTTATAGTAAACTCATACATAATAAACAAGATCTTTTAGCGGTAAGTTTTCTTCAAACAATTATTAAGATATAGGTACCTCCTAACTGTACTATTTGAATCGACTATTTGAAATGAAATTTTGCCGGGTTTTTCAAGTTATATTAAAAAATTAATTATTTTTTGGAACGAAGTTTCTTATCGCACGTTACTGCGGCAAGGAGCTGATCGGAAAAAATCAGTGTTGTTACACGAATCTCCTTATATTTTCCCGCAGGTTCTTATGCCGAAAAAAGGTTGTTTAAAAAAGTAAAATCGCAAAAAAAGGAAAGGCCGTCTTTTTTCATTAGCAATTCAGAAGTAGGTATATAAAGAAACTTTTTAAGTGCAAGTAACCTTCAAACAACAAGTATTCATTGGGCACAAATGTGGAATTACATTATAAGTGAATTAAAAATGCCCTTTCCCCTATGCTGACTCCAAATTCCCCAAGCCTAGGGAAATTTCCTTAGGTCTGGCAACGGTGGCCAAAAATCGAATACGTTAGTGGATATACCTCACCTTTTGACTTAGTGTTTGCAAAGAGAGAGAGCCGATGAAGTTGATTTGATTAGGCCGCCATCTGGTGAATATATACTATTATTTGGATAGAATTTGCCGAAGGATGGTCTTTAATTATTAATAAAGGTGATTTCAGAAGTCTCTTTTTTTTTCTAAGATGATAACGCCACGATTAGCACATTTAATTAGAACACGTGTAGGTTTGTGGGAAATCTGTAAAAAAAGCTGCCAAAAAGTGCCTAAAACGTTTTTTCACTATTTCGTCATCATCATCATAAGGTCGTCAGTACTATGATTGGTTAAACACGCACCTTCACTCTTTCCTATCCTGAGCGAATCTTTGCATTTCCTTAAAACTAGAACATCCCACATCCTTAACTATTTGCCAACAGTCATCTAATCTAGGTCTGGTTCTACTCCTCTTAACTCCTGCTTCTACCTCTAATATGTCTCTGATTAGGACCTTCATGCCTGAAAAGGTGTCCTACCAACCTATCTCGTTCTAATACCTCTTCATTTCCAATCTTCTCTATCCACGGTATCCTCATCGTTCGTCAGTAACACCACAGTTCCAACACTTCTAACCTTTTATTTTCCGCCTCCCCACCATCCATATTTAACAATCGTTTTCGAAGTTTTAAATTAATCGTTCGCAATCACAGAAGTTACTTCTTTTTGTTGAAGGCGACTCGACCGTGTGCAACCCTCTGCTTTATATTCCTACAACCCTGACATGATTTATCTGACTTTCTAGATACCTAAAATCAGTCACTTCTTCTTGCTTTTCATCTCTTATCTTAATATTCGCTATCCCTACTTTTCCTTCCCTTGCATACCAGTATCTTTGTTTACTTTTATTTATTTACTACTGATTAAACTTAAAAACTATTCTAGTATAAACAATGTGCGCCATCCTCACTAGCCGCTTCCAGAGCGAAAAAAGTGTGCTTTAGTAAATCAAATTTTGCAGTATTTTGACTGCATCAAATGGAACGACATTTTAACGATTACATTATAAAGTAATTTCTAAGAAACAAAGGCGATTTTGAAAAATTGCTCTAAGTTGGTTAACAACTTTTTTATGATCATTTTTTGGAAGGATTTTTTTCATTTTTTTTTTCGTATCTTTACTGCGCATTTTTTATATTAAAAAATGTTTTCCTTAGATACGAAGCTTTTTTTGTAATTTGCAGATAACACTGGTTAACAATGGTTTTGCCCATGAATGATGAAATACAAAAATAGGCAGTACTTGGTAAATAGTAATGATCAGTTATAATATTACAAGTGTCTTAGCTCGAGTTATCGAGCTATGCAAGTTTAGTCTTGTATTGCGTTCGCCGCACTCTCGCAAGTTTCGACTTGTTTGTTATTACAATACGGCCCTACTATACTAGATTTAATACATCATAAAGAACGTTAAGATTGCGCTGGCATTCGCTATCAAACACCGTTAAATACAATTAGTGTATGATATGGTAATAGCACTGTAACCTACAGCAACGTCTTAAGTGTATCAAACAAATTTTGTTTTTAGTTTTTATTGTGAAGTTTTAAGTAAAACTTTGTGAATTTATATTTTTGATATGCCTCGTTCCTGTGAAAGCAATCCTAACAATTTTTGTTACGTGTGTGGTAAATTCACTACAAAAAATACAGGGTTACACAAAGTATTGCTGTTTCTTGTGTCTTTGGGACAGTCGCGACAGGGAAAACCATTACGTAAAAAAAGTGTGGCCGTTACGAAAAGCTTTTACACCAGGAACTGAAAATGTTTTTTATCCACCTTTAGTGCAAAAAGAAAATATTATTATATCACCTCTGCATATAAAATTAGGATTGATGAAAAACTTCGTAAAAGCACTGAATCGCGAAGGTCAAGCTTTTCAATATTTAAAAAAAAGTTTACAAAAATGACAGATGCCAAGTTAGAAGAAGGAATTTTCATAGGACCTCAAATAAAAGAATTAATGAATGACAAGACTTTTGAAAGCACATTGAATAGAAAGGAAAAACAGGCCTGGACATCCATGATAAAAGTTTTTCAAAATTTCTTGGGTAAAAAAAAATCTGAAGACTATGAAAACCTGGTTAAGAATATGATCCAAGCATTGTACGCTCTCGGTTGCAAAATGTCCCTCAAAATACACATTCTCGACTCACATTTGGATTTTTGTCCTGAAAATATGGGAGATGTTAGCGACGAACATGGTGAACGTTTTCATCAGGATATTTCAGGCATGGAACAGCGATACCAGGACAAATGGAGTCCTGCTATGTTAGCAGACTACTGCTGGACGTTGAAGAGAGAGGCTGTAGATATTATTTATAAACGGAAAAGCAATATATTAACTCATTTTTAAATTTTATAATATGTGATTTATGAATATAATGTTATCTTAAGTCAAAAGATTTTTATTTGATTCCACAAAAAACGCGAGCTAACTCGACCTTAAAACTTACATCAAAATGTATGTTTAGAGGTATTCTTTCGCAATTAGCACAACTCATTTCATGGATTAACAAAACCTTAAAATTTGTTAACCAGTGTAATCGCCTTTGGCACTTTTTGACATGTTTTGGCAGTTTTCCTATAAACTAGTTCAAATTTGATATGTTCATCGGAACATTGTCATCTTAAAAAGAAAACATCTGATACCAATTTTATTGTCGAATATCAAACTATATTCGACTAAATAGAGATCATTTTAAAAAGCTAAATACTGTGAGCAGATTACGCGTACAGATTGCATATGTTAGATATTTATCAGTTTTTTCTACAAAATACCTTGACCAAAATTTATAAATAATAATATTTCTTCAATAGCGTAAGAAGCTTCGTTGCTAGTGAGTGTCCCACGATACCAGACAGCTTATTTTTTTGTTTACTGTTTTTAAATAAACTACTAACTAACTAACGTTTGATCAATTTTTGCCAACCCTTGGTATTTATGGCACAACTACTTTAATTTAAATATTAATGTGAAAATTCATTTTAATTTTTTCTCACTATAATTTAATCAACATTATTTTTAACTGATTATCCCTTGTAAGTCAATGTTGCTTTTTAGTTTTTTGGAGGAAACGATACAATGGAGATTTTCGGACTTTCATTTTCAGTCGATACATTTCTTGTTGCAAGTGGCTTCATACTAACTCTTTTAATTCAGTCAAAACTGCAACAAGGAAAGTCGATGAACGTCGTTGAGATTTGTGTACGGCGATATGTTCGGTAATTATTCATTTATTTTCCCATATCTTTTTATTTTCTTTTTTTATTTTTAGGCTTACAGTGCCACTCGCTGCTATGGTTTTATGTCATGTTTCCCTACTAAAATTCGTTTATCAAGTATCGCAATGGCCTTTACTTTCTAAGCTAGCTGAGAAAAATTGTAAACTATACTGGTGGTCGTGCTTGTTATATGTTCAAAATATCCTCAATCCAATGGAACTGGTAAGAAGTAGATACTTCACAGTTACTCATTTGAGTAGTAGGAAGTGTGCTGTGGTTGTTAATTGGAAACCTGTCTTAGCTTTGTACACCTCTCACAGTTGAAGCACAATTACATTAATGAGATATTTAGAAGAATTGTAGAAGAAAAATTGTAGGGTTAATTTCAATACATTGAAGTAATTTAAACTTCGAATTAATTTTTACTACTACAGGATATATATGTATCTGTGCCCGCTATAACAAAAATTGGGGTATCAACAGGAATAAATAGCATTCTAGTTATATTTGCTATTTTTACACATTAGGGTGCTTCAAACAAAATTTTTAAATTTTTTTTCTATCTCTTACCCCCTCAAATGTTTCTATTTGATTTAAAAAAAATCCTCGCCAAACATGAGCCCTATAGCTCAAATCTAAGGGGTCGCTATTTTTATTTTAGTTTCTCATTTAATTAACATAGGAAAAATTCTTTTTTGTTTTAAATTGAATTTACACATAATTTACGCAATTTTTTCCAAAAAACCGTTTCATATTCTCAAAGTTGAGTCTTTGAGCTTTACAAAACTCTAAGACAAAGTATGATTATCTTTACAAAAAGACTAGTTACAGCCATTTAAAAATTACTAAATTTTGAAATTTGAAAAAATAGCTTGCAATTATTTTTTTTTTCATAATCCTCAAAATTTTTAATCAAACTATTAGTAAGTATTGTATTTTTATGTATTACAAATTTCAAAAATGGTTAATTAATATAAACTAATATGGAACAAAATTATAATCCATGATTACTTGTAATCATACGATTAATTCATTTATCTTATTATTATCATGTGTGCTGCCACCTACACTACGTACTGAGAACCATTTTTGAAATTTGTAATATATAAAAATACAATACTGACTAATAGTTTGATTAAAAATTTTGAGGATTATGCAAAAAAAAATAATTGCAAGCTATTTTTTCAAATTTCAAAATTTAGTAATTTTTAAATGGCTGTAACTAGTCTTTTTGTAAAGATAATCATACTTTGTCTTAGAGTTTTGTAAAGCTCAAAGACTCAACTTTGAGAATATGAAACGGTTTTTTGGAAAAAATTGCGTAAATTATGTGTAAATTCAATTTAAAACAAAAAAGAATTTTTCCTATGTTAATTAAATGGGAAACTAAAATAAAATAGAAACATTTTAGGGAGTAAGAGTTAGAAAAAAAAAATTAAAAATTTTGTTTGAAGCACCTTATTACACATATTTTAAAAATTACGTACTAATGCGAACTTACATAAAAACATTAGACGGATGCTTTTGCAGATTACTGATTTGCAATAATTTCTTCTGTGAACACTATTGGTCAACTGCTCAATCTTTCTTGAAGCAGTATGCTTTTGAGTTTGTTGTTTTGTTGTTGTTTTCGATTTCGCAAGGGCTAGGAGCTGCAAGATCGCGGAGGATTAGGCTCAAGTCAGACGAACCCATGCGGAAAGATGGGTCTATTAATGAATACTTCACAGATAGTTCTAATAGAATATTGACCAAGCCTAGCTTCTACTGTGTAACAGCTTTTAATGTATAAACGTTGACATCACAGCTAAGACCATATGTAGAGATTTGTCGTTATTTGAGGCTTCTGTGTTTGACGAGTCAATACCCTTCAAGTACCTTGTCAAATATTAGTTGACCCACAGTCAGTGCAAAATCTCTACAGATGCTTTACTGCGCTGTAAATTCGTATTTGTACATATAGGCATATAATAATACCGAGAGTGACAGATAGAATAAATGGTATATTCAGAGTCGAATAAGTCATTAGCTTCTAATCTTATCTCACATCAAACGATGCTAAATCAACCAAAGCAATGCTCCCTTCGTTGTGTAATTCAATATAAGCAATGGGATGCCAAAGAATAGATGGAAGATAGAATGCCCAAGGCAAACTCTTGTCCAATGACTTGAAATAGTTGGACAATAGGACTGAAAAAGTGAATCCATCGACACACCCGTTTATACAATAAACCTCAAAGTGAATCAGCCAATTACAAGCCATCCTATGAACAAAGTACTTTACGAAATGAAAGAATCAAACTAAAAGCTCTCCAGTTGCTTTACCTTTAATGTCACTGTTTACATTCAACTTTATCAATTACACATCAGTTTACTTTCACTTGATGTCAGAAATGATTAGAAAGCAGTGAACCTAGTTTTATGTTATGGTGACTTTACTTTTAATTTCAGTGCATAGGTCAAAGTTGGTATCTGAACGTAGATATGCAATTATTTTATATAACACCTTTAATTCTTATCTTACTTCACCGATTTCCCAGAAGAGCCTGTTACGGGCTTTTAGGCCTTATTGTAGTTTCAACTAGCTATACTTTTTACGTCTGTTGGAAATACAAAATAAAAGCATATGCAATTGGAGTAGAAGGGTAAGAATACAAATTTTACAAATCAGTTTTTTCACAATGAAGATATATCTATTAAAATATGTAGGGGACATGAGAGTAACATTTACCTCGCGTCATATTATTGCATTACCTTCACCAGAATGTCTCCATATCTTATTGGTATACTAGTTGCAAAATTCATGGATCGAAAGCAACCGTATCTAAACAAAGTAAGTAGCAAATTAAAAATAGAAATAATGTAAAGTATTAAAAAAATTACAAAAATAGAAGTGATACTTAGTTTGTATAAAGAGCAATATGCAGTTATACAGCTGGGGCTGCAACGTAGAGAAGTAAATATTAGGAAGGGAGTCAGCCAGGGATCCACACTGTCATCGCTACATTATTATCTGTACATCGAAGACAGTACAATTGTAGGGAGAGATATACAGAGGCAAAAGATTAGTATGCTTAGATTTGCAGATAATATAGCAGCATACTAAATGCTATAGCAAGCTTTAAATAAAATGGAAGAGGTAAAAAAGTATAACAAAAGTACTGGTATGCAAAGGAAGAAAAAGTAGGAAAAGAGCGAATATAAAGAGACGAAAAAATAGAAGGAGTGGCTAATTTTAGGTATCTAGGATGTCATATAAGTGAGGATGGAAGGAGTATTAGGGATATAAAGCAGAGGATAGCGCGAGTCGTGTCGCCTTCACTAAAAAGAAGCCACTTTTATGCTCGCGAGCGGTTAATTTAGAGATTCGAAAAAGATTGTTAGAGGGGTATGTTTGGTTCGCGGCGTTGTACGGTACGAAACATGGACAGTGGGCGGGGCGGAAAAGAAAAAGTTCGAAGCGTCCAAAATGTGTTGTTACTGGAGAATAATGAGGATACCGTGGATAGAGAAGGTTAGAAATGAAGAGATATTAGAAGGAATAGGAGAATAGATACTCTATAGAAGTTAATAAGAAATAGATGAGATAGGTTAGTAGGACACCTTCTCAGGCATTGTATAGTCAGAGATATATTAGAGGCAGAAACGGGAGTTGGGAAGGGTAGAGGTAGACGTAGATTAGATTCCACAAATGGCGCGGTAAACGTCATCTGTAGTACAATGCTACATTTTACAAATCGCTACGCATCCAGGCGTAGCTTGCCACTACGTGATAGGCACGTTACCATACTGGAAACTGTCTGCGACGCGCTCCTAAGATCCAAGAAGATCGAAATCGCCATCCGCGCCTGGCAATGTCTTTATTACATTGGATTACTGTTCGCAAATAGTTAAGGATGTGGGTTGTTTTAGTTTTAGGGAAATGCGAAGATTAGCTCAGGATAGGAATGAGTGGAGCTGCATGTCCAACCAGTCTTAGGACCGACTACCCTATGATGATTAAAGCAATATATATTAAATTTCAGTTCACCGCATCTTTACTGTGGGCAGTTGCATTGTTTTTGTTGGTGGTTTCATGGATTGGTTTTCAAGATTTAATTAAACGTCAACAGCCCTATAACAAACTTCATCATTCGGCATACAACGCGTTAATACGATTAGTCTGGGCAATCGGTCTAAGTATTATGATACATGTTTGCTATCACGGATACGGAGGTAAGACAATTGAATTTATCTGTTTCAATAATAAATAATAAAAAGAAGTTACTTCTATGCTCGCGAACGGTTAATTTAGAAATTCGAAAAAGGCTGTTAAAGGTGTATGTTTGGAGCACGGCGTTAGACGGGTGCAAAACATGGACTGTAGGCGCAGCGGAAAAGAAAAGGTTAGAAGCGTTCGAAATGTGGTGTTATAGGCGGATGATGAGGATATCGTGGGTAGAAAAGGTTAGAAATGAAGAGGTATTGGAAAGAATAGGAGAACAGAGGACTCTATGGAAGTCAATAAAAAATAGGCGAGATAGGTTGGTAGGACACCTTCTCAGGCATGAAGGTCTAGTCAGAGACATATTAGAGGCAGAAACAGGAGTTAGGAGGGGTAGAGGTAGACCTAGATTAGATTACTGTTCGCAAATAGTTAAGGATGTGGGCTGTTCTAGTTTTAGGGAAATGCGAAGTTTAGCTCAGGATAGGAAAGAGTGGAGGTACGTGTCCAACCAGTCTTAGGACTGATGACCTTATGATGATGAATACTCAAGAAATTTTTTGTTAAATGTCAGTACCTACCTACTTTTCAATTAAATGTCGAAGAAATTATTTTAGGATCTTTCAATGGTTTTAGGAAGTGTTTAGTGCTATTAATTATATCGGTATTTTTACAATTATGTTAGTTCAATAACATTTCCGTTAAGTTAGATCTAGTGTAATTGTTCACATTCATTAGATTTCAAATTTCTTTGTCGCTTTGTTCAGTTCAATTTTATGACATTTCTTCAAACAATTCTAAAAATGTTTAAGTCATAAACTCATTTCTTCTGTTGTTTGGCTTTATGATATTTTGTGAATATTCTCATTGTTACACAGTTAAAATGTAGGTCAGAAATTTAAATAGTTCCTGGTAGTTTTTCTGTTTATTAATTTTTGTTTTTTAGGAATAATCGTCAACATTACCGCATTATTCACTGTTGATTAAAATATCTTATGGCGTGTACATAGTACATTTAGATTTACAAATATTTGCAACCATGAAAGATGAAGGAAAGAGCCGTTTTGAAAGATTTGAAATTGTATGTTTTTACTTATTCTTTATGTAAAGGTGCGTCTATATCTGAGCAATATATCTAATGTATCTGTCTAATATCAACCGGTAAATGAGGTGGGGCAGACTGCCCCGTTCTGTCCCAAGGCTATTCGGACTCCAAAACTTCAAGGCGGTAGTATTGCAAAGGGAATTTCGTTTGATGTGAACGGGATCTGAGCATATTTGCTTCGTTTGGGTCGTTTTAATAAAAATTTATTAAATCATCATTGCCAACGATTATCTACTAAATGAACTGGAAATTAAATAGAATGTGGCGCATCACTGTCTCATTTGTTGTCTCAACTGACTTCGTTCAGAATTCTTAAGGATACAAACCAAGTTGCCTTGATACGAACGTGTTCGTGCTCAGATGTATACTCACCTTAAGTAACGACTGCTAAAGTAGTATTATTTTAGTATCGAAAAGTATTTGCGGATACTTGCCTATCTACAATGGGAGGATTCTTTTGGACTTTAGTATTCGATGTTCCTGCATTAAATCTCGTCAATCTGGCTTTTCAAAGTAAGTTAAAAATTGAAACCGGTATTGATTGATATTATCGTTTGTTCTTTTATTTCATATCATCTTTTTGTCATCATTGCTTTCCATAGTTAATGAAAAACTCGAAAATTAATACACAATTGCATATAACACTTTCTGTTTTACTAATCGTATGTTTGTAAACGGTGGCAGCCGGTGGGGAAGGCCTGCGGTGCATTACGATATCGGCTTCAAAGTTACACTAAACACTTTTATAGCACAAAAATATATTTTTCTTAATTTTAGACAACAATCAATTATTGTTTAGAAGTCGATACTTTGTAATATAAATATGACACTTTGACATTTGATAAGGGTTAATATCAAATATTAATGTGAAAATTCATTTTTATTTTTCTATTACTACAAACTGCCTCAAAATTTTTTCCCTCATTAATTTAAGGTAGTTTGTAGTGGGAGAAAAATAAAAATGAATTTTCACATTAACTTAGTAATAGTTGGTAGCTATGAAAACGTTTGTTTAAAATATTATGCGACCCGTCATTGGTTGCAAGAAACCTACATGATTCAAAATATCAGATCATGTGATTATTATGACTGACTTCGTATATTGGATCTTTCACCGCGTATTTTTAAAAATTTCCATTATACTTAATTATATATAATGCAGAATCAGAACCAACATCTCGTCTTTATAGATAGTTATTCGATTCAATATTAACTGCGTATATGATAAAATGAAATTTTGATACAACTAAATATTTGTTTACAGAATACAATGCATTCAAAGGTAAGAGGTCGTTTGAAAAAAAAGTGCAGTCCAGTATATTGAGAACCGATGGATTAAATACTGCAAAGTTCTGAAGGCATGAAGCTGAGAAATATAATATTTGCATCAGCTATATTTAATAAAAAATTGACAACTCTTCAAGTTTAATAAAGCATTTATGTTTGTGAATAGAACACAATTATTTACCCTGAAAAGTTCATTAACTAGTATTGAAAACACCGTAACTCCAAGACGCTACTTCATGACCATCAATACGTATTTTATTATACAAATTCAGTTTTAAAATAACGTATTCTCAACTATGTTGATACTAAAATAAAATTTTATAAAAGAACACTTTCCGACTAGGGTTGCATTTAAAGGAACAATGGAATAGATATATCAGTGTCAGCGTAAAGGCTAGCAATAAGCCGATGTATGTGGTCCGCTCCGAGTGACAAGCATGAAAAGTGTCAGTGGTTAGCATTCCGCCTAAAATCCATGATGATTTTTAATTATTTTGGAGTTTTTACGACTATGGCACCAGTAGAAGTCTCCAACATCTCTATTGCGTCCCAATGGACTATCTTGGAACTTCTGAGATTCACCGTCGAATGGGGCTGTTAATTTTGTCCCCAGTCTACTGCTGTATATAATAAGACTCTTGTGTTGGCGTTTCGGTGGGCGCATGTAAAAGGTGGCCCTTAAATATTAAAACTAATAAAACATGGTACACGTACATCGAATATGGGTAACCTAACCTAACCTAACCTAACCTCCTACATATTCATAATATCAATAAAGGAAAACAACTTAGGATCCATAATGAGACTTACCAATCCTAAAGAGAGGGAACTGGATTTTTTAGAACATTGAAGCACGTTTAGGATTTGTTGCTTAATTTTGGGTGAGCCCAACAGAAAACCACATTGAGTGCCGACCCATACTACACTTCCTCTAAATTAAATGTAAACATAGAGGTTACTACACCTTACCATAAAAAATACATTTCACGTATTACACACGTATTTATACTCCGAATTTTCATATAGATACATTTTAGATTGAAAATTAGTAATAAAGTAACTTGACAATAATACTGAAAATAATAGTAGTTATTAATCAAAATGTAAATCGTTTAGGTACCTACGTAATACTCTTTACGGATGGGTTGTTTATATAATTGTGTTACAATAAATTAACCAATCAAGACACTACCTGTTCCTTTTATAGAATATATCATCTTAATTTGACACCTAACATAAAATGTTGTAGGTATTTACTTTCTACATCCATTTGGGCACAAACTAGCCATTTATTATTCTTGAATACTACAAAATCCTTCTGTTCGAATTTACTACTACAGTTAATAAAAACCCATTAAATTAGCTTAATTTACATTTACCAAAAAGCAGAAACACTAAAAAAGGCCGTCAAATTGTTTGTAAGAAGTTGAAACGTATTGTGGATTTTGAATCGCGGGTTTGAAGTCAAAGATTAATTGTTTCGCTAAAGACGCTTGACACCGTAGTAGTCAGAGAAACCAATTCAACCTATAATTTTAGCTAAATTTAATTGAAAGCTTCTATAAGCAGTATAAAAAAGTACTAATTAATTCAACGAAATAAAAAGATTGTGTGGTTTTATGAAACCACGATGCAAGTGAAAGTTTTCGGAATGTAGCAATTTAATTGTAAATTTTCGGAAAATTATCCGATTTAGAGTATTAATGTAGTCACCCTGTGTGTAGTCGTAGTAAGAGGTGACTATCAAAGTTGTGGTTCTGAGAAGAACCGATTTATAATATCGTTGGGCACATTATCTGTGTCACTGATGATTGGCACAAAATCACAGCTTCCAAGGGTTGACGCTTTATCAGTATTCTAATAATAGCGAACCTGGTGTTAGACTAATTTATTCGAATATTTACAGGGTATTTATACAAATTTATTTACATGGTTTAAATGGCAAAGGACATTTCAGCACTTTACATTTGTGTATGTATTTGCCGTTGACCTAGTTAGTCGCAGTGTGTCGCGACCTAACTAAGTCAGCACAAATGTAGAGGCTTAATTAATACACAACAATAAATGTTTTCTTGCTATACCGAGTGTTCCCACAGGACCACCCTTCCAGTGAGGAATGATGTGGATCAGCTTGCTCGGATATAGCTAGGGAAATGTACTCGACGACTGGACCGGGTTGTAGTATGGGCTGGTCGATCGTCCATTTTCCTCGTTGTGAGTATCGGTTGGAAGTGCTGTTCTTCTTTCATGATGTACGCTGGTTTCAGTCTTTGCACTGATAGAGATTTGCTTGTGTTAGGAATGTGAATCCATTTAAGTTGTAGGGATTGGTTAGAGTTGAGATAAGTTTAAAGTTCCCTGTCGGATTCCTGCTCAGAGATTCTTGAGAGTGTGTCTACGATGATATTGTCTTTCCCAGAAATATGTTGGATGTTCGTAGAGAACTGGCTAATGAAACTGAGGTGCCGTGACTGTCTGGGAGAGCATTTGTCAGGGTTCTGACGGAGGGGCTTGTGATAGGTAAATATAATGAAGTCACGGGCTTCGAGAAAATGGCGGAAATGCTTAATTGTGCGATAAATCGCGAGAAGTTCTCTGTTGAAAGCGCTGTATTTGACTTCAGCGTTCGATAGTTTGGAGGAGAAAAATGCAAAGGGTTCCCAGGTTCCATTGTAGAATTGTTGTAACGCAGCGCCCAAGTGATGGTCGGATGCGTCACAGAAAATTGCTAAGGTAGGATCTGGTTGTGGATGGTGCAGGAGAGTAGTCTGCGCCAGTTGCTCCTTACTTGAATTGAATGCCTCGTTGGCTGTGGGATTCCATTGTAGTGGTGCATTTCCTTTGATTTTCCCCAGTAAAAGTTCATTCAGAGCAGAATGAGTGCGGACAGCGTTAGGCAGGAACTTTCTGTAAAAGAGGAAGCGACGCAATTGTTTTGCGGTAGTAGGTTTGGGGAAATTGGAGATTGCTGTTACTCTGTCGGGTAAAGGGCGTATTCCATTTGCCGAGACAGAATAATCTAGAAAAGAGACTTCTTGTTTACCAAAGTTGCATTTTGCTTGGTTAAGCAGTATTCCGTATGAATGTACACGAGTAAATAACGTGCGTAAATGCTGTTTGTGCTATTCAGCACTTTCTGATGCGACCAGTATATCGTCGATGTAAGCAAAACAGAAGTCAAGGCCGTGTAACACTTCGTCAATAAAACGTTGAAATGCTTGGCTGGCGTTGCGTAAACCAAAATTCATGTGAGGAAACCCGAACAATCCAAAAGGTGTTGTAATGGCTGTCTTTTGAATGTCTTCCCCTGCGATTGGAATTTGGTTATACGCTCTAACCAAGTCGATCGTGGAGAAAATCTTCTTATTTGCCAGTGCATGCGTGAAATCGTCGATGTTGCATACAGGATATCTGTCTGGGATTGTTCTCGCGTTGAGAGCACGGTAGTCTCCGCATGGGCGCCATTCATCGTCTTTCTTTGGGACCATGTGTAGTGGCAATGCCCAGGGGCTGGAGGAGGGACGTGCGATACCCAGTTGTACCAACGTTTCAAATTCTCTCTTTGCTGCAGAGAAATGGTCCGGGTCTAAACGTCGTGGTTTGCATGCTACTGGTGGCCGGGGGTAGTGTTGATATAGTGCCTTGTTGCATGTTTCGAAAAGGTGATCTGGCCGTTGGGTCGAGTTAATGACGGAAAATCGTGAAGTATCTCGTGGTATGGAGAAGTGGTCGTTTTCGTTTCTGTAACGAACGTGACGGAAGATTGGCAGCAGTTGATTAATTTACCAGAGGTGGTGAGGTGTGTCAGTTGATCCAAGAGTCGTTGGTTGCTTAAATCTACCAGCAGCTGATAATTGGTTTGGTGACGTCGGCTATAATGAAACGCCATGGGAAACATCTTCGTAGGCCTAAGTTGAGCGACAGAATAATAGTACCATAGGTCGGTATGTTGGTGCCGTTTGCTGCTTGTAGCATGAATGTGGATTTCTGACGAGGCCCAGGTATTAGTGACTTGGGATACACGCAGATATCTGCACCGGTGTCGACCAGAAATTTTTGGTTTGTGGCTCTGTCCGTTACAAATAGGCGACGTTGCGCTGTGTGGACCTTACCTGTCGCCATTAGTGAGCTCCCTATTGTTTTCCCGGTGACTTCCTGCACGGAGGAATGCATTTCCGTGCCTTGTCTTGGAATCTGCTGTGGTAGAAGCAAAGGTCGTTGCTCCTGTTGCTACTGTTGGATCGTCTTTGCAAAGAAATGCCTCTTGAATGAGATCGAGATCTTGTCCTCGAACCTCTTGCCATATGTCATCTTATATGATGCAGACATGGTTAACGGTGGCGTGTTGTGGCAAGGTTGGGCGTCACGTTGCGGCTGGCCTGGGCGGTGTTGTTAACTTACATGCTGCTTGCCGAGGAGCAGGGTTGCGCTGCTGGCCGGTGGAGAATGTGTGACAGCGGCAGGTCATCTTCAAATGGTTGCGGCTGTGGTCACCAATCGTAGTTCATCACTGACCATGCGTTCGTAGTCGGGGTCACCACTGTAGTCACCCTGTGTATAGTCGTAGTAAGAGGTGACTATCAAAGTTGTGGTTCTGAGAAGAACCGATTTATAATATCGTTGGGCACATTATATGTGTCATTGATGATTGGCACAAAATCACAGCTTCCAAGGGTTGACGCTTTATCAGTATTCTAATAATAGCGAGCCTGCTGTTAGACTAATTTATTCGAATATTTACAGGGTATTTATACAAACTTATTTACATGGTTTAAATGGAAAAGGACATTTCAGCACCTTACATTTGTGTATGTATTTGCCGTTGACCTAGTTAGTCGCAGTGTGTCGCGACCTAACTAAGTCAGCACAAATGTAGAGGCTTAATTGATACACAACAATAAATGTTTTCTTGCTATACCGAGTGTTCCCACATTAAAATTAAGATCGTGTTCTTAATCTTATCTTAATTCTTGGAAAATGGGTATGAGAATGGGAAATCAATAGTAGACAAGATATCCAACTATAAATTTTAATTTCAATCTGCTATGAGAGTACGGAATACATAATAAATTGATACAATCATTCAGATGACAGACGCATATTAAAAACTGAGAACAATATTTATTTAAATCATTGAATCATTTTCAACTTAGATAAGTTATTTTATCAATAATTTCATCTTCGCTTAGAGTTTCACAGTCTATAAATGCAATTGTCATGCACTTGCACGAATGAGTGAGAATATAAATGCTACACGGTTGAATCATGCGAGCCATGCGTGCCGCCATATTGTTCTTGGCTGCTCTGCCGAGCGCCTTTCAGTTTTACCCCGCGGCCGGCTGTAATGCGACGTGCGATAGATGGACGAAAAAATTTGAGGCGATGTAATAAAAGTTTCACTTGAAAATATCTGTAAGTACACTAGTTTTTTATTCTCATATACTGAAATGCTTTTATAGTGATATTTAAGCATCAGTTTATATAAAAACTAATTAATAAAAAACAGAAAATATGTTTTAAGCGAACACAAAGCTAATTGACTAGTTGTTAGCGTCCATTTTAAGAATTCCATAATTAATCTATACCAACCATTTTAAATTGCAAATTATACGGTATAAACCTTTTAATGTTAAATCTAAATTTTAAAGTGCTAAACGTCAATAATAACGTTTGAGTTGTTGGTCAGAAATTTATCGAAACTACCAGACGTGGATCGCCAATTAATTTTGATCTCATCAACCCACCATGGCCAGTATCGATAAATTTTATTGACCAAACGGGAGGAGCTGCAAAAGAGCGCATTAACTTAATGTCCAAATATACTCCTGAAGTATTTTCAGGGTTAGGCAAGGCCTTAGTTTTAGTAATGTAAAGGAAATGTCCATTATATGACGATACACTGCATTTGTATATTTAATATCAGTTGTACATGAAAATGCTTATAGTAATTGACATCATCTATAGGTTTCCTATCAAGATCAGCTACCAATGTTGGTGGTTGGGCAGGCCACCTTTTAGGAAGTGTGAAAACAGAAGAGAAGTGAAAGATGAAAATGTCTCTAACCCATTTTCTTATAATATAGTAATACAGGGAAAAAGTACCAAAAGATAATTGAAGCAAAAGTTACTCGGACGCTCCTTTGCCAAAGCAAAGAACCAAAAGATAACAATAAGAGAAATTTACCTCCGGACACTCAGTCACAGGTTCCTAGATTTTCTTCATTAAGAGAGAGCTCAATGCTCTCTAACAACAACAAAAATAAAATAAAATGTAAATTGCACCAAGTAAAGTATGTTGAAACGATTTCTTAATTTATTAAAAATTTGGTGCATGGGGCCCAAGGACTAACCTAACCCAATGTTGAAGTTGCTGGCAGGTTCTTGTCTGAGTCCAACCAATTGACTGGGACCTCTCCGGGGAAACTTGGATGGAGGCTGCAGGACAAAGTGGATGGCAAAAACACCACAGAGGTTTCAATTTAGGGGTGCTTGGAACTACGTGGTCTAGAACGGGGGATGGATTTAGTACCTGAACCTCAGATCTCGTCTCAATTAGCTTAGTGGAATAATCTCATGCAGCCAACCAACACCGGATAAAAACGAAGCATCCAGATATGTCGCTTAGAGAGCTCTGATCGGGAAAATTGCTGGCTCCTTCAAGGCTCTAATTTAGAGTATGATTTAACTGGACCAAGCACAAACAATACCGCTGAGTAAATAATAAATAGAAAACCGTAACTAAAAAGAAAAAAAAGACATAAACCAGTTAAGTACACGAAATCACCCAAAAATTCAAAATAGTAGAATTTAAAGTCAATTAAATTAACAAATAAAGGGCGACCAAAGGCCTAAAAATAGAACTAAAAATTTACTCAATGTCAAAGGGGGCACTTTAATACCTTTAACTGAGTCGAAACATGAGTAATATTTAAAAACATTATTCATCATCATCATAAGGTGGTCAGTCCGAAGACTGCTTCGACACGCACCTCCACGCCTTCTATCCTGAGCTAATCTTCGCATTTTCCTAAAACTAGAATAACCCACATCTTTAACTATTTCCGAACAGTAATCTAACCTAGACAAATTTCTACTCCTCTTAATTCCTGTTTCTGTCCTTAATATGTCTTTGACTAGACGTTCATGCCTAAGAAAGTGTCTTACCAACGTATCTCGCCTGTTTTTATTAACTTCCACAGAAACTTCTGTTCTCATGTTCATTCTAATACCTCTTCATTTATAACCTTCTTTATCCATGGTATCCTCATCATTCGCCGGTAACACCAAATTTCGAAACTTTTCTTTTCCGCCGCGCCCACTGTCCATGTTTCGCTCCCGTACAGCACCACGCTCCAAACATTCACCTTTAACAATCTTTTCAGAATTTCTAAATTAATCGTTCGTGAGCATAGAAGTGATATCTTTCTATTGAAGGCAACTCGACCCTGCGCTATCCTCTACTTTATATCCCTACTACTTCCGTCTTGACTTTATTACAAAGGAAAGAAAAATTAAGTCCGTTAAGTCTTTGTCTATTTGAAACTTTTCTCGGAAACCATTCAGCAGTTCATACCGTAAGTACCATAAGTGAAAAACAATTCAAAGCTTTGAAAACCTTTACCATAAATTAGGAAAACCCCGTAACCCTATTGAAACAATTAAAATGACTTAATATTGCCGAAGCATATTTACTTTCATACTGCAAGTGTTTCCCAAATTTAAACACTTGAGAAGAAAACTTAATCGACAGTACAAGGAATTGAAGAACAATAAGAAAACTTAACTGAAATCAAAAGCTCTAAACCAACTTTTCCAACAGAAAATTTTGACCACGTGGCCATTACACAAAATTATGAAAATATTAAACCACATAATAAAGAAAAGACCTTATATTTTGATACGACAGGTAACGAGATTTTTCGGATAAAAAAAACCGTTTCAACATTTTTTTAGAATAATTTATTTGTCATGATATACCACACGTGTTGTTCGTTAGTTTAGTTTATCTTATTTTACAAGTCGAATTCGCACTTTTAGCACTAGACGTACAACTTCTTCCGAAGTACTTGAATTCAATATGTTGTTTTTTTCCATTGTATTGTTCAGCATAATTTATACATGCACATCAGATGTATATTATCATAAGTCTTGGGATTTAATAGAGACATCCTCCACTTTCATAGATATATTTTTAAAAAGATATTCGTCTGAAGTGTCGCCAGAATGTCGAACATTATTGAAGGAATATCATGCAAACATCGACAGTTTTGGAAATTGGGGATTGCAAAGTAAGTAATCCGAAATTAAAGCTTTTTGATAAATATATAAATATGTTATTTTTAAGTGTATCAAGCTTCAGCAAAGTTGCCGGTGGGGATGCTTAAAGGAAATGTATTGAATATGGGCGATTATGACTCATGTGTCAATTTAGCTGCAGAGACCAACCGGGGGACAGTAAACGGAAAGTATTGTCTTGCATTTGAAACTGCTAATGATAATTACATTTCTAATTTGATATTAAGAAGATATTCAATGGAGAAGGTACTTCAACCTTTTTTCTTCAATATACATTTAAGATTCGTGTATGTGCCTAACTTAATGTACAAACAACACATTCTTGTCCTACACTTATAAAAAAGATCACATTATTTACAGATTAATAAGGTATATCTTTATCTCCCTAAGTTTTCAATGAACCCTACAAACTATTTCAAGATAGGGTTATTGTATAGAACTTTTAAATTCAACAACCCCATCATAGCTCGTTGGTGGCGATTCTCTCTAGAATCTCAGTTAGGGAAACCCAGCAAATGCATGATTAATTCTAAAATTAATATGTTTTGCATATGCATACCTGAAAACTTCCCTTAATATTGTACAAACGTTCTGATTATAATTAATTCATCATTACTTTTAGATTTTAAATGAGTCGGACGACATAAGTAAAAATAATATAATTCTTTGGTGGGGTTTGTGCTATCCTAGTGTTTGTACGACAAAAGAAGCTGAAAAGCTGTTTCAACATTTTTTTGCAAATATAACCATCAAAGAGGAGTTCTGTCAAACTAAATACCAAAAAGTACCTTTCAGCAATACGGAAATTATAGCAATGTAAGTTAATATGTTATTATAAGTATGACTTTTTCAACGGAAACTATTTTATGTAACATATTTTATCACAATCATGTCAAAATGTGCCTACTGAATTTTTAATTTAGTAGACTCGAAATTTGATGTTTTCGGAGGTAGAGCCCATATGCATAGCAAACATCGTGGAATTACACGATGAGTTATTTACCAACCGCATTATTGACAATTACCTACATCAGTTTTCTGGTTAACCTTCTCTTCGGAAAGTGGACGTATCAAATATGTACCTAATAATGTTGCAATCATATACAGGGTGGTGCTTTGAATACTTTCAAATTTCTGGTGCTTGATGTCGGATTAGTAATTCTTGCAGTTTTCCGTGACAACTTATTGTTCTCAAACAATTTCAATTCTCTCTGTTATACAGTTAACCATGGCGATTGGGATAGTTTGCTGCAACATCAGTTAACAATAACAAATTAACAATAAACAATTAAAAATTAAAAGGAATACTCACCCCTAATTAACACAAAAAAAATTATTTGAGTAGACACGTGTTTCGCCCACTTCATACGTGGGCATTATCAACTGTTGTCTCGCGTTGATAATTAAAACGTTTAATTAGAAGATCGAATTGTGTTAAAGGTAAACTTTCGATATCCAGGGTGCTTTCCTATAATTAGAAACTTTAATTAAAAATCAGCAATTTGAACGGAGCTGGTCTACATCCCTATGTATATTCGGGTGTATAATAATTGGTTGCATTACAGATGTAATCAAAATGTCATCGCAATTAAATGTATGTGCTATGCAAAACCAACTATGGCCACCACTGTCCGGATTTGGACTGGCTCAGCTAGGAACAGTAATTATAGTTCTTACTGTGCTTGATGCTAAACTGAATAGGTTACGCTATTTTTAAAATGCAATACTAGCAGGTACTAAGTACTTGTATTTTTATATTTGCAAAAAATAGAGATATATCTAATTTAAATGGAATTTTAGTAGGTTTAGATTTCATGAAGCTGAAGATGTTCTGATTATATGATTAAACATTCATATTTTTCTTGATCTTAACTTTTTTTTTAATTTTAGTGGTCTTCTGTTTTCCTGGCTATTATTTATTGTAATATCTACATTGTATGATGTTTACAGAACGTTTTTGTTGGGTAAGTTTATTGCAATATTATTAAAAATAACGTTAAATTGACATCTCGGAAATAAATATGATAAGAAAGGACTTTTTAAAACAATTTTTTTATTTAAGAATGAACTAAAAAGCTAATATTAATTACAAAAATAATAAAAGTTTCAAGCACTTGACTGAGGAAGCAGACACTAACAATACGAAGTTAAGTACGATATAGTTATTAATATCTTGTCACTTCTATGCTCGCGAACGGTTAATTTAGAAATTCGAAAAAGGTTGTTAAAGGTATATGTTTGGAGAGCACGGCATTGTACGAGTGGACAGTGAGCGCGGCGGAAAAGAAAAGGTTAGAAGCGTTCGAAATGTGGTGTTATAGGCCGATGGTGAGGATATCGACGGTAGAAAAGGTTAGAATTGAAGAGGTATTGGAAAGAATAGGAGAACAGAGGACTCTATGGAAGTCAATAAAAAATAGGCGAGATAGGTTGGTAGGACACCTTCTTAGGCATGAAGGTCTAGTCAGAGACATATTAGAGGCAGAAACAGAAGTTAGGAGGGGTAGAGGTAGACCTAGATTAGATTACTGTTCGCAAATAGTTAAGGATGTAGCCTGTTCTAGTTTAAGGGAAATGCGAAGTTTAGCTCAGGATAGGAAAGAGTGGAGGTACGTGTCCAACCAGTCTTAGGACTGACGACCTTATGATGATGAAACGCTTTAAGTCTTTGTTATTTCTAATATTCCGGATTTTCCGCGTATTTTCCAAAAATTCTCTTTCATTCAAACCTTGCTTTGTCAAAAAATAAATCGGTCAAATCGATTGAGTAGTGGTCAAGTGACGCTCCGTCATGAACTTGGCAATTCCCTAGAATTGGCAGCTAGGAACAGCTTGAATTTGGTTTCTACGTTTTTATGGACAATTTTTCTCTTCATAAGAACCTTTCTCGGGCTTCAAGGAATATCTTAAAGAAAATATCGAAATTGGTCCAGCCCTTCTCGAATCAGCACATTTAGGGATCCATTTTTATATACAGGGTGTCTCACGGTGGCCACTCATTAGAATATTTCGGAAACTACTTCGATTCGAGTTTTAAAAATTTAGACAGTAGCGTTATTGGGTATGCTCTCCTTAATTAAAATAACAGCATCTAGGTCGCACTTGCGGTTATACCGGAAGTTCACACCAACTTCGTTGTTTTAAATGGAACACCCTGTACATTACAACGGTTTTGAATTCTACCTATAATTTAAGTTAGACCTTTATAATACTTTTCTATTTCTAAACTTTACTGTTATCGAGATATCAATTTCTTTTTAGAAATGTATCACAGAGCAGTAGGTTGCGAAAAAGCATGTCTATTTTACAGTAAGAAAGCTGGCTTCCCGTCTGTACTTTCAAAAGTTGATTAAAACATATAATAAATTACATACAGGGTATTAGATATTTAACGGCGAAACGTAAGTCAATTTTTTCAAATGTATATTTTTTCATAGCCTTATAGAGAATTTTATTGTCTTTCGAATGGTACTATGGTTCCCTATACCCATCTCCTCTAGTTTTCAAATTATTTACTGTTCTTTGTAAAATCAACTAAAACTGTTTATTTGTTTACGAAGATGGCTGTGAAATTATTAGCAGAACTTCAAAACAAATAATATGAGTTAATTATTGTCACTCAAACACCCATATTGACAGTTTAGTCATTAAATATTTTGATTCTCAATGTCAATTATTGAATATCATTTTTATGAAATGGAAAATGAAAATACCTATTCAAATTAAGGAGAATTTTATAAAATCAATAGGAAGTAGTTGAAAAGCAAACAAACAATAAATAATTAACGATGTCAGCCGATAATAATTAAATGTATTAGTTAAATCATTGGATGTGCCNTTAACTATTTTGATTTTCAATGTCAATTATTGAATATCATTTTTATGAAATGGAAAATGAAAATACCTATTCAAATTAAGGAGAATTTTATAAAATCAATAGGAAGTAGTTGAAAAGCAAACAAACAATAAATAATTAACGATGTCAGCCGATAATAATTAAATGTATTAGTTAAATCATTGGATGTGCCCCCGTTTAGCTGTAAGCAACTTTTTACCCTTTCGGTAAATTTATGAGTAAGAGCTCGAACCATTAAACTAATATCGCTAATTATTTATTTTGTATTTAATTTTTTACTACTGTTATCTGTAGTCTGACGTATTGCATTTGATTTTATAAAATTCTTCTTAATTTGAATACGTAATATCATTTTTCATTCTTCATAAAAATAATATTCAGTAATTGACATTGAGAATTAAAATAACTAAACTGTCAGTATGGGTGTTTGAGTGACGATAATTAACTCATATTATTTGTTTTGAAGTTTTGCTAAGAATTTCGCGGCCATTTTCGTAAACAAATAAACAGTTTTAGTTAATTTGACAAAGTAAAGTAAATAATTTGAAAACTAGAGCAGATGGGTACAGGGAACCATAGTGCCATTCGAAGAACAATAAAATTCTGTATAAGGCTATGAAAATATATACACGGTATTCCATTTGGAAAAATTCACTTACCATTGTTTGATGTTAGCCGATCCGACACTAAATATCTGATACCTTGTATGTAATTAACCCACTTTGTAAGTATAGGCTGAAGCTTCAGGGTATAGCTACCGTTTCTAAGAATATTGTTGCTCCAGGTTTCTTATTGTAAAATAGGCATGCTTTTTTGCAACCTACTGCTTTGTGATACCTTTTCTTAGAAAAATTAATATCTCGAAAACGGTAAAGTTTAGAAGTAAAAAAGCATTATAAAAATCTACCTAAAATTTTAAGTAGTATTCAAAACCGTTAAAATATACAGGGTGTTCCATTTAAAACAACGCAGTTGGTGTGAACTTTCCAAATTTTCAATATTCAAATCGAAGCAGTTTCCGAAATATTCTAATGGGTGGTTACCGTGAGACACCCTGTATATAGATAAGATGAACATGAAAAATACATGCTTCAAATAGTGGTAACTTACACTGACCATAACATAACCTTCAACAGATACATAGTATTAAAAAGAAAAAAGCATGTTGTAAAAAATAAACAAAACCCTTTTACGTGTGCGTAGTTTACCTAGATTTAGTCGCTAATTTATTATTACATTGCCATCATGTTTACATGTATAATATTCCTACCAAAACTCCTTATGTTCAGCTTATTCCGGTGATGGAAATACTAAATATTTAAAGACACCAGCTAACTTATTTTATACTTCATTTACTTTCTCTAGCGAATTGCCCCTTCCAATGTCTTGGATGCGCGCTGGCAAAATCGTAGGTAGGGACAAAAAAGCTCATTATAATCCCGACTCTTGTTCATTAAACATACTTTTTCATACAGTACCTGTCAAAAGTTTTGTTCAGTCATGAATAGTAGTGCGAGTCGAAAACAAACGTTAAAGCCTTTAATATGTCTTCAAATATAAATAAACATCTCGTTGATTTTTTCAGTAGTAAATGGTACCAATAACAGCTCATTTGAGTAATGCAATTTTAGTGGATAAAATAGTCAATTTTTCCGTGCGGTACTGTACGGATTATACGCTCCTCACCGGTTAAGAGTTTGGCCGAGAGTTGTCTCCTTCCTTTTCTAGCCTAAAGCTGTCTTTTTCTACTTTGCGCCGGTCAAACTGAAGGTCACATCGACATGCGACTCGTAACACTACAGCATCAGGTCATATTCACAATATTATTGCACATCGGAAACCGATTCACAATTGACTTGTTATGTTTGTATTTTGTAGAGTAACAACAAACCCAGTTCAATAAAGGCTTTTAAAAAAGCCATCGCGTTGCACGTTTGTTTTTATTAAACGTTGTATCCGTGTCAGAACTGTGTATGAATTGAATGTATGTATCTACGCCAACGTAACTTCGTTCAATGTGTTTTTGTACCTTTTTATTTACACCTTCAGTTACGGTGTAGCTTGTATACCTATGTTGGGTTGCAAAACCAATTTTTCCTATGTCACATACCTACAGGAACAATATTATTGACAAAATGGGACCACTCTCTAAACAGAATTGTTAATCCAAAAAGGCCCTCTCCTAATGCTTTACTTTTATTAAATTGTCGTATATCAGATTGATCTAACTTTGCCGTTTCTATTAAGACTTATTGTTAAATCTAATGGCAGCAAAATTTAAAATTAGTGTAGGGGGAGGGGCGCGGCAGACTAATCCTTTGTCAGTTACGATGTAAATAGAACAATCGGGCATAACTGTTTGAAAATGTAAAAGGTTCTACAATATATGTCTTCAACTGCTGACGCATTTCGGTAAATGGTATCACATGAATCTTTTCCCGTGAGGATATCTAAAAAAGAGCAAAGCGTGCGTTAAAAATTGCGAGAAATATCGCTAAACTAATAAAAAGTTTTTGTCGTGATGTTAGCCAAACAAACTCTACTGTGTCCATGTAAAATAAATAATTGCTTCTAATTCATGACCAATAAAATCGCTAGCGTACGTTTCATAGAGTCTTAGTAACGCCGAAATATCCCTGGACTGCTTCTAAGATTTCTTTCTTTTCTTCGAAGGTACCACTTGGAGCAAGTTTTTGGTTCCATCTGGACTTTCTCACATTCTTTCAAGATGCCGTGGTTCAAGCTAAAGAAGGTCCACTATGCCCAATTACTTTTCGTTGTTCGACCTACATCTGCCCTCGGTGGTCTTGAGATTCCAGCTTCTTTCCTTCTCATTATTGGGCCAATTTCTTCGTTCTTCCTCTGGTCTTCGATTAATGCCTTATCTTCCCAGGGTCCTTCAGGCTGAACAGTGGTTAGATTACAACAGATCGATTCTAGTTCTTCCTTCATCTCTACAGGTGGACAACGCAGTTTCCCACGCAAGGTCTCCGGGAAAATACATCTACGTTTCAAATTGTTAAAGAGTCTCGTTACTTCTTTAGTTCCTTACCTGCTGTAGATATTCATCGCCCTACGTCATTTCTACACAGTTGACAAGATGGTGGAAATCATATTGTTAGCACTCGGGCTTTCTTTTGAGTATATCTAGCGACTCCCCTCGTAAAGAAATTATTAGTGTCGTTGCTTTTTCTGAATCAGTCCAGGAATTTGATTCTGCCGATCCAAACAGATTCAGGTAAACAGACCATGAGGTTTTAGAAAATACTACAATGGCGCAGTAAATGCCATCTGTAGCACAATGCTACATTTTAGGATTGCGTTTACTGCGCCATTGTAGTATTTTCTAAAACGCATCGTTAAGACAGCAGGTAAAAGTTGGTCTGTGTTCTGTCGGAGCTGCCTGCGACGCGCTGATGAGATCCAAAAAGATCGAAATCGCGATCCGCGTCTGGCAGTTTCGACAGAATATAGACCACTTCGAATTATTTTAGACCATGAGGTCTTTCTGTCAAAAGTGGGAGGTGTAATTTTTGATAACCTTGCACCGGAATCATCAGGTATTGAAGTAGAGGGTTGTCTTTCAATTGCTGCTCTCATTTTCTCTATCTTATTCTCGATCTTGATTTCCCTTCCCTCTATCCTCTTTTCCACCCTGATTTCCCTTCTATTTCCTTTTCCATTTCCTTTCGAATATCAATTATCTTGTCCTTCATTCTCTTATTTATTACTACCTGTACTGCTTCCATTTTACAAGCTTTTATTTAACTTGCAATATGCGTATGTAAGTTGAAAAAGCTTGAGGCACTGATGTACGCTATACATTATCAGTGCCTCAAGTTTTTAAAATTACCAAGAGAGGGGTCACTCCGAACCTAGAATTTATCTACTTTATTCATGTATATACATATCTACGACATGTTACTTAATTTTATTTTTCCTTTTTAGTTCACGTTTTATTTAATAAAAGCTTGTTTTCAAAAATGTTTTCTTATTTCTATTTTTTATTCCATTTCTTCTTGACCTGCCCTTAATTCTTCTTCTCTTATTTTTAGATCATCATCGTGACCTTTTCTCATTCATTGTGCCATTTTTACCATTATTGCCATTAATGCCTTTATTTGTTCCTCCATTTTTGCTTCGGTACTTCTGGTTGTAAATGGCATGAAATATTTCGATTTCTTCTATTCTTCTTTCTTCTTGTTTTCGAGAGCTTTCCAACGATATATCACTTGCTAGGATTTCTCGCAACCGATGGAAACTTCCAGAAAATTATGGATGGGTGCTCTGGAATATTAGATGAAAATGTTCAAAATCCTGCTCTTACTTTTCCAGTCCACTTCAGTCTTCTTCCACTCCACATCTTAGACCAAATGTCACGTATTTAAACTCCTTTTCGCAATTCCATAATTTTTGTTTAACAGGTTGCTGTCTAAATAACACTTCTATTATTAGTTAACAATTCACCACTATATAAACACTTTATCACTTCATCACTCCTTCTTCTCTTTCTATCGCCTCGGGCTCTCTGACTCGCACTAACTCCTCCCGATCTAGCGACAACTATTTATAGAGATTAACCGTTTCAAAAATGTTCCAGTAAATGCCTTTTAGAAGTCAATATGTACTTTGGGTAGTCTACATACATGTGACAATATGTATTTCCTTCTCATTTGCGTAACTGCTCATATGCTATAGTCACGTGAACAGTTTTTGGCACGAAATTTATGATACGGATCTGACATCCTAGTTATCGTTTATGCATTATTACTAATAGTTCACAACGTGTTATTAACACCACTATTTTTAATTAATAACTAATGCCCTACAATATCGCTTACTTGATTGCTTCTTCGAGCTTCCTACTTCGTTTCTATCCCCTCGTAACCATTGTAAAATATACACTGACTGTAACTCTTTCCATCTCGTGGTAACTATTTATAGACTCTGAACTGATTCTAGAAGGATGTGGGATACGGAAAACCTGGTCTTGATTCTTATCAGCGAGATCTAGGCAAGCCATTTGATATAAGGTGGGTTGTCCACCCTCGATAATATTCTCTTCCGAATGTTTCGGCTTTGTAATTTCAGAGGTATGCAGTAGATATACGAATTGCAGAGAAACTTCCGCGGTTAATTTCACTGAAACTCTAAGTTACCTTCAACCCTTAAAAGACGACTTATGTGTGTTGATGATTTCGTCTTGCCTAATTTAAGGTAGACTTGTTAACTCCAATTGTCCAATAAGAACCAGTTGTAAACCAAAACAATCAGGGAGATCACAGGAGAATATGAATAACTGCATATCATTAACGCCTTATGTACAAAATTGTGCATGGTGTAATTTACGCCGCTGTAAGCTCTTACTGCTTTCTATGTAATATCTTGTGCTTGTAATTCACATATTCATCGTCAGTTCCATCTTCCCATATACTTTCATAAAAGATCATTTATATTCAGCAATGCACATCACGTTTTGATCATTATTTGCTGCTACTACTTCCACAGTAGCGTGCGGTTGCATGTGCACATGCAAGCAATGACTGTTAACACGTATATACGGATTAGTTATGATTATCAGTCACATTTTGAATACATTCACTTGCAATTGCAAATGTGTTTACTAAGTGCTATAAAAGATTAGAATCAACCAAAAATTTGCGACAAGAAATAATAATTCTGAAACAGACGAGAATAAGTAATAACAGATTCATCTATAAAAAATACTCTTTTCCTAATAAATTTACCGTGTGGATTCATCACACGTTAAAGTATTCGTATTAACGTACAAGTTTAACGTTATATATATTCTAAAAAGAACCTGCTTTCAGATTCAACTAATTCATTGCTTTCATCACTTTCCCTTTGGAAGAATTGGAAAAAGATATTTTATGAAGATCCACACCCTGAACGTTTAAGTTGTATTGATGGGATTAGTGTTTTAGCAATATTTTCAATGATGTTAGGAAACGAAGGTTTATTTTTGGGTTTTACTCCACAATTACGTTCACCGTCATTCGAAAAGGTTCGTACGATAATTTAAAGTTACTTTATGTAGATAAAGATCATTTTTATTAACACTCTCGATGATGCATTATTTCAACGAAAACAAGTATCGACACAAATAAACAATAGGATGTATGATAATACAAGCTTTTTTTATCCATCTGCATTAAAGTGACATTTAACCTTTGTTGAAACAATATTCTTTGTAATACCAAAAACAGTATTCCATAATCGATAACTGTTTTCTTTTTGTATTTTAGTGGATTCGCAGCTACTTGTCGTTTGATGTGGTTGGATCAACTTTTAGCTCGGAAACCTTCCTTCTTGTGGGAGGTTTTCTGACAACATACTCTTTCTTACAAAAAATGGATAGATATGGAAACGTTAGTTTATTTAAGTTAATTTTGCAGAAATATTTAAGGTAGGTTTTTCTCGAACTAGAACCATAAGTTGGAATATTTAAATTGAATATGAATATGCTAAAAGACCAAACATGCATTAAAGTGATCAAGATAAAATGAGTAAGACGAACACCAACAACGATCAATAAACGGCGCACTTTCAAATTTTCTCAGAATACCTTATTAACCAGGTTTAAATATACGAGGCAAATAAATAAAATTTGCAAATTAATATTTTTTTAAGTGATTTATGAAGATACAAAGATTTTATATATAAGTACATATATGATTGGAAAATGACATAAGCAATAAAATTGCATAAGCAGTAATAATTGAAGTGGCGCCCATCTAGTTAAACGAGATATTTAAACGTTATTTGGTATAAAAAATTGAAAGCCTGTGACTAAACGTCCGCCGGCGGAATCCCCTATTGCAAGAAAGATGTTCACATAGTACGGAAATTTTTATGGTGACATTGAACGTGTTAAGTCATGCCTTTTGTGGTCAGACTTTAATGTCAAATTGACTTTGATTGAGGTCATTTGTTTTATAATTCTCAGCACATAAAATACTATAAATTAAGCTAACGTGCCTATCACGTTGAGGTTGGCTACGCCAGGATTCGTTTTCAGCAAGTAGATATTCACACAAGTGGACCTTGTTGAAAAATACGTAATCCTAAAATGTAGCATCGTGCTACAGATGGCGTTCACTGTGCCGTTTGTAGTATTTTCTGAAACGCACTGTTAAGACAGCAGGTAAAAGTTGCTCTGTGTTCTGTCGGAGCTGCCTGCGACGCGCTGATGAGATCCAAAAGATCGAAATCGCGATCCGCGTCTGGCAGTTTCGACAGAATACAGACCACTTCGAATTATTTTATTCTCAGCACATGCTACAATATAATCGATTATGATCTTGAATTTCATAATAATTTCGCTAGAGATTTCTGCTGATTGTCTTAATTAGTGTAATACTTATCACTTACAATTTTCAGTACCATTCAAATACACCCCATACGAATTTGACTTTAAGCAAGCAAAGTTTTCAGAAATATCTGACCAATTAAAACCAACATTCTATTGAATCGAACTGTAACATACACCTGAATAATGTTCTAGCCAAAACTAACTCCTCAATCTCTTTAATGAAAGGACCCTTTTATAAAATCAATATTCTGTTTTTACTTTTGAATTTGATAGGGTATATGGCATGGTAAAATCGCTACATAGAGCGACAACCAGGTGAGAGACATTTACGTACACAAGTGTAACACTAACTTTTTTCCATATGAACCATGTAAATAAATGTAGTACAAATAGCTGTAAAAAATACTCAATAAATTAGTCTAACACAACCTCTTCGGTTGCTGAAATAGTGTTGACCATCAGATGCTGTAATAGTGTCAACTGTCATCATAGGTGCTGAAGAGTCTCCAACGCTCACTAAACCCGGTTCTTGTCAGAACTACAATTCTACGCTAGTTTATCGACTAGAGTGGTGACGCCGACTAAGGAATAATTGACGGCAACAACAGTAATGACTACAATGGTGATCACAGCCAGAACCGCCTGCTTTCCTTTACCCGATAGAGTGACAGCAATCATGAACTTTCCCAAACCAAGTACCGTAAAACAATTGCGAAGATTGCTGGGTATGTCCAACATTAACAGAAAATTCCTGCGTAGCGCTGCCCGCACTCCTTTTGTCTTTGATGAACTTCCACAGGGGAAAATAAAAGGAAGTGCACCACTTCACTGGATCCCCACAGCCGATAACGCAATCAATTTGCGCAAGAAGTAACTGTCGCACACAATTCTTCTGCACCATTTGCAATCCGATGCGACTTTAGCAATTTCTTGAGACGCTTCCGACCATCACTTGGGCGCTGCGTTACAACAATTTCACAACGGCACTTAGGAGCTCCTAAAATTTTTTTCTTTCAAACTCTAACGCTGAATCTAAATACTGCGCATTCGATCAAAAACTTCTCGCAATTCATCGCACAATCATGCATTCACGTCAATTTCTTGAAGCCCTTGACCCCATTATTTTTACTAACCACAAACCCCTTACTTTTCCTTTACGTCAGAACCCTGACAAATATTCTCGTAGGTATTCACGACACCTCAACTTTATGAGCCAGTTCTGAAGGAATATTCAACATATTTTAGGAGAAAGATAATATTATTGCCGTCATACTCTCACGAATTGCTGAGCTATCAACACACGTTGATTATGAAGCCCTTTTTTCTGAGCAGGAATTCGACTGGAACACCTGAAACAAATCCATTAATAGTTTTCATACTATGGTCCATATAAAGTGCTTAAAAAAGGTGAACATTCATTTATTATGCAACCACCATCATAATGAAGGTGGATGACAGACCAGCACACACAATCACCCTCTCCAATCGTCGACACAGTGCGACAACTGGGTCAGATACATTTACATACACAAGTGTAATTTATTGAACTAACTTTTTCCATAAGAACCATGTAAATAACGTAATATATAATATGAATAACCTAACATAATGGTTAGAGCATTAGTGCGTTAATCGAAGGACCCAGGTTCGATTCCTGGCGAGAGCATGACAACAGCAACAATTTTCGTTATAAGTTTGAGATGATCTATGGAGAATGAAGTATTTATTAATATGAATATTTAAAGAAATTATTATTAAGTACCCTTTTCAAGATGGTGTGAACAAAATCTATTGTCAAAAATTAGAAATACAACTGTGGTACAAACCAAGTGTTTTTTTGTTCATTCATGTTTATTTTTAAAATATTTCACCATGTGATTAACAACCGCACAATTTCCAATATAATAAACGATTTCTTTATTGTAGGTTTACTATGCCCATAGCCGTCTTAATAGTTATACATAAGTTATTATTAGAAAGAGTTTTTGAAGGGCCTCTACTGCCATGTTACAAGAATCCTTCGCTACAAAATTGTAATGAAAACTGGTGGTCAGCTCTCTTGCATGTACAGAATTACGTTAACCCAGATAATTTGGTGAGTAATTAAACTGAATGCTTATTGGAGTACCTACTTTATAAATTTTTGAATGTGTTTGTTTATAGTAAATGCTTATTTATAAATCAAATGATAAATCCACATTAACCATAGGCAAGAGTCGGTAGTGCACGTTGAAGAATTAGGTGGATTTATATTCGAATTCAAAAACCTTATGAATGCTGTACCACCCTTAGACTCAATCTAAAGACGATTTATGTAAATTGAATTATCGATAAGCATTGAATAACCTGTTCACGTATGAAGTTCTCCAAAAAGTTCGTAGAACAAAATTCACGTGCGCGATAATGTTAAAAAAATCAAAATTTTAAAAAGTTATTAGCGGAATCAGATTCTCAAAACATAAGAACATTCTTGCACGAGGGGATTGAGGTTTAGAAATCGCTTAAAAATAGTATAGATACCTGCATAATGCCTATATGTGGTACAAGGATAAGTTGAAGTTACCGTGAATGAAAAAGAAGCCAATGAAGTAGGCGAGTAATAATGATCTTAAATTATTACAAGTATATATTCATCTAACTGTGCTATTAATAATATTTAGTGTAAACCAACTTACTTAGAATTTACTCCATTGCATAAAGTTAACTTTGTGAACATTTTGACGATATCCTAAACTGTATATAAAATTAAATTTTAGTAGGTCAATAAGTCGTATTTCTATTATGTTATAAAAAACTATACTAAGTCAGGGTCAACTCGCGTTGAGAAGAAATAAGGCGTGTGGCCCGTTTGGTTTTACGATCTATATCATAAGATCATCAGACCTAGGGCTGGTTGGATACGCACCTACACGTTTTCTTATCCTTAGATAATCTTCGCATTTCCGTAAATCTAGAACATCCTTAACCAATTATGAACAGTAATCTAATCTAGGTCTACCTCTACTCTCCCTAACTTCTGTTTCTGCCTCTAATATGTTTCTGACTAGACCTTCATGCCTGAGAAGGTGTCCTACTAACCTATTTCGCCTATTTCTTATTGACTGCCATAGAGTCCTCTGTTCTCCTATACTTTCTAATACCTCTTCATTTTTAATTTTCATTATCCACGTTTTCTCATCATTCGCCTGTAACACCACACTAATACTTCTAATCCCCTGTAGATTACCTCAAAATTATGTTTCACAACCATTCAGCACTGAGCTCCAGACATACACCTTTAACAATCTTTTATACAATACACATAAACAAATAAACAATAATTTCTAAATTAACCGCTCGCGAGCATAGAAGTAACTTCTTCTTTTTGAAGGGGACTCGACTCTATCTATCTATCTTCTGTTTTATATATCTATTGCTTCCTCCAGCCTGTGTTACCTGGCTTTCTAGACACGGGAAACCAACAACTTCTTGTAATTTTTCTCTTCCTATCTTTATATTCGCACTTTGCCTACTTATTTCCTACTTTATAGCCTCAAATCTTTTTTGGCCTTCCTCGACCATCCTATTTTTTATTTTCGCCTTTCTTCTATTAATCTTACAATCTCATTTGTTTTACGGTACTAATAGCAGGCAAAGAGCAGTAAAAGAAAGTACGTATACAGGATGTTTCTGAAATAGGTAGCAATCTTGCAGAAGATGATAGTGAAATAAAAAAATTAAGTAAAGTATTATAGATCCGAAAGTTCACCGTTTTCGAGAAAAGGGTGGTTTTATTTAGATATGGCAATAAATTTCCAGCCTTAGAGAGAAATGCGGCAATGCAACGTCGTATTCAATCAGCTGGTAACTAACAGTATTAGTGTTGTATTTCTTTTCTGTTGTTTGCTTATGTACTGTTTATTATTTGTTAGATTAGACTAAGAGTGATTTATATTTAGTCAATCGATGGTAGGTCAGTTTGTAACTGTAAATGTAACGATCAAATTGTATAGTAATCGCAAGGTACACCTTACATGAGCGTCGCCGTTCCAACCATATTACCAATGTGACACAAATTACTTCAGACTCCCAAAAATAATAATTAAAGTAAAATATATTTATAAAAAAAAGGAAAAGCAATATATAGGAACTATTTTATAAAACAAAAGTAAAACTGATTATGTTAAATGGAAGATGCCTCAGCACAAGGTGACATGATGCGCGAAATACCTGGAACATAACAAAAGTATGAGCGACCAGTTCACCTAAATACCATTTGTTTTACATACTTTCGTCAAAGTAAAGCACATCGTGTCTGTCACCCGCGAGTGCTAAACTACTAACAACAAAGAAAGGTACCTTGCGGTGCAACAGAGTAAAATAAAGTAACGGGTGAAAGGATTTTAACACACTGTGTGACTCAAACACTCCAAAATAGCACCCTGCCTGGCTCAAGTACTCCTTCAGGTAATTAATAATTAAAGGATTTTCGTCAATGGCTCAAGCACTCTGTCAGGTAATTAATAATTAAAGGATTTTCGCTAACGGCTCAAGCACTCTGTAATAGCGTTACTTCTTAATGAGAATTGTAAAGCTCAGGTACTTGAGTTCTAATCTCTTTAATGAAATAAGACAAAAATGCCAAAACAATAAAATGTAAATCAAATCGGCAAGAATTTAGCATTTTGATATTTAAGTGAACATGGAAATGCTCTGTGATTAAACTCACCGATAATTGTTGATTATTTTCACAACTGTAACAATTCAGTTCACACATGGATTAAACACCACACACACACAAAAAATAATTAGATCTTATCTGAGCTTACTGGCTTCAAGCGTTTGTTTACAAAATGTATGCCCGCAGATACTATTCCCTGGCTTATCCCATGCATTTCATTTTCGACTGCTCTTAATGCGTCTGATGTCGCCGTTGTGATAGCGGGCCAATAAATTAGTCTAACGAATAAACTAAAATTCCAAGAAGTAGACTTACTTCTTACACCAATAAGTAGAAGAAATCCAAATGTTGAAGGGGCAGTTGCTACATGCTTATCATTAACAGCCAATACAAGCCTTACAGGAAACTGATTTTTAGCTTATACACCGACTACAATCATTTCGTGAAACAACATTTATCCGTAAACATGATACAAACAATTGGGCTCTTCAGTACTTTCCTACCGAAAGCACTAACACAAATCCACTAGCACCTGGAAATCGGTTTCCTGCAAGGCTTGTATTTGCTGTAAATGATTAGGGTGCAGTAACTGTTCCCTTAACATTTACCACACTGTCATACATGAAAGGAGCCAATGTTACGTGCTATTTCGCGTGGACTACTTTGAGGGTTGTCTTGTTGCCGATCACGACCCGAAAATATAGTGAGTACCTTGTGGTTATTGTACAATGTGATCGCTGCGTATTAACAGTGACGCACTGATCTACCATCGATTCACTAAATACATCAGAGTTACAACATTAGAAGAACAAAGAAATACTAGCTACATTCAGCTATAGCATAAACACCTTGAATTACACTTAAACTAATCCAACAATTAGTAAACAATACATGAGCAAAATAGTACCAAAGAAATACAATTGATTCTCCTAGTTACCTGCTTATTGAAAACGACGTTGCATTGACGCATTTTTCTCAAAAGCCGAAATTAAAATTACCTGTACTTTCAACGAAAACGTTGATCCTTAGAACCGTAAATATTCACTTAATTTTCTTATTTCATTGTGCCCTATCGTCTTCTAAAAGGCTGCTACTTGTTTCAGAAATACCCTGTATATTATACATCGTAACTAGAAATTACCCATTGCAATATATCTTTCTATTGCAGCTTATTATTTAAAACTAAAAATGGAAAATATTAAGCATTTCGATATCTTTCAAATTACACTTCACTCGACTATAATTCTTAGAATTTCAATATGTTTCGAAGGACACCCATAGACATTTTTCACAAAAATATCAAAGCTAGAAAATCAATAACAACTACCTTAAAAGGCTAGGGACCAAGAACTCTAAACCGCTTAATCCAGTGGTTGGGTTGAATCTGTATTAAAAGCAGTGAAAAAAGCAGCAACTAATTTCTAACCTCCACTTTGTCCCCCTTGAGAATATCATATATTCATAGAATTGAACGTAAACTAAACTTCTAAAAATTACTACAATGCCTTTCTTGGAATGCTAATTTTAGAAATAATTTATTCTATTCCAGTGCTTCCCACATACAGGATACTTGGATGTACATCTTCAGCTTCAATTAACATCTTTGGTTATACTGACAGCAACATCCTATGGATACAGACGGTGTATTTTGATAATTCTTTCGTTATTGATCCTTGTATCAATCAGTTTTTCCTTCATTCTTGTATGGAGGGAGGAACTGAGAGTATATGGATTCCTATTATATGGCATGTAAGTCCTTCATTTACAGAAATTAGATTAATTCATGTTAGTACACAGATACGTACTACATTAAAATACACAACACACGCGATGCAATAACAGACAGCATATGGATCGATGAATAATAGTATTATACAATAAACTCAAAAGAAAAACACATAAAGTCTTCTGCAGATGGGGTGCCTACTGGAGCCTACTTATTGGTTATACAAATTTTGCTACATCTGTTGTGTGCCTATTGTCTGTATAGTTTTGTCCTAGTTTATTTAAAAGATTAGTATGTTTAGATTTGCAGATGATATAGCAGTATTAGCATCTCGCAAGGAGGAATTAGAAATAGTTTTAAATAAATTGGAAGCAGTATTGACAAAACAGTACTGTATAAAAATAAATAAAAGTAAAACAGAAATACTGGTATGCAAGGGAAGGAAAAGTAAGGAAAGAACGAATATAAAGATAGGAGTCGAATAATTAGAAGAAGTGGCCGATTTTAAGTAACTGGGAAGTCAGATAAGTCAGGGCGGAAGGAGTAGTAGGGATATAAAGCAGAGGATAGCGCAGGGTCGAGTCACCTGCAATAAAAAGAAGTCACTTCTATGCTCGCAAGCGGTTAATTTAGATATTCGAAAAAGGTTGTTAAAGGTGTATGTTTGGAGCACGGCGCTGTACGGGTGCGAAACATGGACAGTCGGCGCGGCGGAAAAGAAGAGGTTAGAAGCTTTCGAAATGTGGTCTTACAGGCGAATGATGAGGATACCGTGGATAGAGAAGGTTATAAATGAAGAGGTATTAGAAAGAGTAATAGAATAGAGGATTCTATGGAAATCAATAAGAAATAGGCGAGATAGGTTAGTAGGACACCTTCTCAGGCATAAAGGTCAGAGACCTTCTAGAGGCAGAAACGGAAGTTGAGAGGGGTAGAGATAGACCTAGATTATATTACTGTTTGCAAATAGTTAAGGATATGGGTTGTTCTAGGGAAATGCGAAGATTAGCGCAGGATAGAAAAGAGGGGAGGTGAGTGTCCAATAAGTCTTAGGACTGACGACCTTATGACGATGATGGTGATGATGAGTTTGTTTATGAAATCAAATGTTTTTCATTAAACAGGGCTGTGGTACTTAAATGATGCACAAATTCATCAATCGTTTGGAGACCTAGTCCGAGGAAACTTCTTTTCACAATCGTTAAGGGGATATTATCCTGATCATTGATATAAACGGCTAGTCTATTTAATTAGTTTTTAAATTGTTTATTCTCACAACCACACACAAAAAAAAACATGTACATAATCTAACAATAGCAAAAGAAACGACTTAACCTAACTTATATATATGTATATATGAAGTGAAAAAACCTGACAGAAAAAGAAAATGAGACATGGATTGTTGACAAAAAGGAGATGAGAGAAAAAACAGATATGAATATATATACACAAAATTACATGGCGGGTACAAAGAGGCTAGAGCTCTCTCTTCCTTGCCGCTGGTGGGTGGAATGTCAGAGTTAGCCAAATACTGTTAAAATACAAGGCTTGAGAATTAAATGGTCGGAGGATCTCTCTCTTCCTTGCCGTGTGTCGGTGGAATGTCAGAAATGCTGGTACTGAGGAAAGCATCGGTTATTTATACAAACCCCAGTACCAAGCAAGGGTTGGAAAAAGAGGGATTGGAAGTGGGGTGATGAGAGAAGGGCGGAATCAACAATAAAAACGATTTGGTTTTTTAGAGTTGACTTCGCGATGGAAAATGAAAAAAACCAATAGCGGCAAATGACAGGGCATGCATGAAAACATAGGATTAGGAAAAAGAGTCGTAGTTTTAAGATAAAAAATAACAGAATTGACAAATAAAACGAAAAAACTAGAAAAACAGTGACGAAGACAGTAGAGAAGGAAAGAATAGTTAGAGAGAATACTACAACCAATAGGAGCAGGAACACTACTTTTCACTACACAATTCTAAATATAAAATGATAATTTTAAATAAATAATGATACAACGCAATATAATAAAAAAAGGCCAAATTATTTTTTTTTCAATGTAAATTCTTCAAATATTCATAACAAAATAATAGTGTGACTATGGCGACACAGGCATAGCAATAAAATAACCAGTCACTTTGTATAATCAACTGATTTATTTATATTTACAATACTTTATACATAACATCAATTTCCAGCGTACTGTATTGGCCGCTTAAAATAAATAACAAAAGATGACTGCCAACTTTAAATAAATAATCAATTCCGACCCTACCATCCAGTGACACTTCCGCTCACTTAAAAAGAATAATTAAACATTATTTACTAGCACTGATTTCAAAGTATTATTTTAAGTATTCAAAATGCGGCCAGGGTCCTTCCAATTCTAATTAACTCACGAAAAATCAAGGCTTACAATTAAATGTTTGTTTATTGAAAATACAGTAGCTTTTGAACTATTTAATTTGAATGAGTGAGATTCTAGCCCGCACAGTAGTGTGGTAATCTAGATTACATTTTACGCTGGTATCGGTTGGTAACATATTTACAGAAAAGAAACAATAATGGGAGTAAACACTTGCTTCATGTAGTTGCTATAAAAACGCATGAGAATCATAAAGAATAATATGTGCAATTATAAAAAATATTTCTTTCCTGATTACTACAAAAGATATCGACTTATTGAACTGAATTGTTATTTTTAGTTGAATTTCTCTCTTGTTCAAACAACTACGATTTACACATTTAAGGTATCGATTGACTTCATGCGCTTATGTAATCAGTTTAACCTCAAACTTAATTATTTGAAAAGTTTTTCTACTTTTATTAGAACATCTGCTTTTGTTTTGCAGAATTTATTATTTAAAGATTACAGCAAGTTATTTTGAAGAGAAAAGTTTATTTACTTCATTGTTCGTTATTCTTAAATTCTTCTTGAATAACAATAACCATAGGGATAACCGTAACCGTAAAAATTTTCGTAAAAATACATTATTTTGACACAGAAATGTAAACAGTTGGATATTTTTAAATCTAGAAACCTTTGAAATTCACTTGTTATTAATGACTCACAAATACCTACTGAAAAATTATAAGCAAATCAACTTATCGGTATTTCCTATTTTAAAATTGCCGCTTTCTCCATTGTTGAGATAAAAAATATGTATTCCCTTTAAAATAAGTGACTTCACTTTCAACCAGCCTTGAACTTCAATGTTGATATCACACTCAAGGTCGCCAATCGATTGCCCCGATGAAACACTTCTCTTTCCTAAAATTATCTCCGAAATAATGAGATAGAATCAACATTATTTGGATATTTGGTTATTCTCATAGGTTGGGACCGAAAAATGAAGAGCCAATCACCTTCAAGGATATATCTTATAACAATATTTTCCATTATTTCCGTTACTGAGGTCAAAAATAAGCATTTTCATTAAACAAAATGACTTGATAATGGATGTCAAGTTTAAGGTCAAGTTCAAGGAAACCAGCTGATTTCCTCTTTGAACACATGCAACATTTGTATAAAACTTTAAATGATAATAAGATCCAAGCGAGATATTTTATTATCTTAAGATAAATGATTCAACTTATTTACTTTACATGTTATGTACATTGGATTCACAGATCTAGAAAAAAATTTTTGACAATGATAAATGGGAAAAGATGCTAAATAAATTGAAAAATGTAGTGATGATATATAAGGACAGAAGAGTGATATATTGTATAAAGAACATCAGGCAATTATACAATATGGGCAACAATGTAGAGCAGCGAATATTGGAAAGAGAGTTAGTCGAGGTTATACATTTTTTTTAATATGCACTGCTATTGCAGATGCAATTAACATCAGTAAAGACAAAAAATTATTGCATGTGGGGGAGGTAAAATTTGGGCTAGTAGGGGCAAAATAGAAAAGAGACACAAATCTCGAAGTCGCCGATTTTTGATAACTGGAATCAGGCATTTCAATACGATATTATTTTTTCATACATACCTTTTTGTTAATATGTAATAAAGTTGCAGTAAGACAGACATTAAAAATGCCATTCCTTAAAGATTCTAGCAATTGTGTAAACAAAACCGGAAGCTACAGTAAGAACTTTTAAAAGTTTTTAGCCGTTATAGACGTAAAGTTCTCAAACGATCGTAAAGTAAGGTAGTTACAAAGTTTGATTTAGTTCCTGGCTACCGATATTAGGATTTAATTTAGTATCCAAAATTGTTGAAACGAATATTTGGATACTTATTGTCGTAACTAGTAGGCGAAGAAGGAATATTAAATAAATTATTTTACACGGATAAGTAAGCTTAAAAGTAATTTTTTTAACATAATTGACAATATAAAATGCGATCAATCAAATACAAAAATTCTGTAGCTGTCTAACGTTCACTTATTTCTTTTTTGTAATAAACTCTGCAATAGTTTCGGCCTGTTGAGCTTTTTTACGTTCGATGTAAACCAAAACAACTTATCATTACCTTATTTAAGTTCAAGTGAATCCAAAAATTTTATGAAATAGTCGAATTTTAGTCTTATTATACAGATTCATTTTTTGGGAGTCTTCAGAATTTAAAATGTGAGCATTGTAAAACAACTTTCTACAGGGAATCTCACGGTGACCACCCATTAAAATATTTCGTAAACTAATTCGATTTAAATTTTGAGAACGGTTATACCGGAAGTTGACATCAACTTCGTTATTTTAAATGGAACACTCTGTGTATGACAGTATTGAATTCTACTTATGATTTTAGGTAGACTTTCATAAGGCTTTCCTACTTCTAAAATTTATCGTTTTCGAGATATTAAAAAAAAGGCATAGATCAGTAGGTAGCGAAAAAGCATGCCTATTTTATTTTTAAATGCCGTAGCCGGATGCGATACCACTTCTCCTTTATTTAATGAAGGGAAACGTAATGTAATTAAAATATTTGAAAAACGTCATGATTGGCAATTTAGCGCCTCGAGAAACGCAATCTCAGCCATCTTAATAATTTATTTAACATAGTTTAAACAATTTCCAAAGTTTATATTTTGCTCAAATGCTCTACTCATTTAGCCCAATAAGATGGCATTAAGAAATGTTTTTATTTTTATGTTATAAGCAATGCATGGGCAGATATGGGCTTGTTCGTTCAGTTCGGGACTAGACTGATGGGTCTACCCCCAGAGAGAAGTAATTAGGTATACCTATGCCTTGCACGATTAGTCACAATTATTAACGCGGGTTGAATATAGATAGGAAAAATCGACGATCGTATGTAATCACAATTATTTATTGTTAAATAAGTTGCTTGGACTAATCTATGGAGAGTTGAAAATATTTCCAAACTTATTATTTTCGCGACCTACCCCAAATTAAAAAATATCGTTCTGCGAGTAGTAGTTTCCGAGATAATGCATTTTGTTTTTCGGTCGTTGCGATTTTGAAGCAGTCCGAGACTAAACAGCGAGCTGCTACAGCTGATGACGTCATCTCACGTGAATCCCTATTTCGAACGGAAGTACTTTTAACAAAGTCAGTATCAAAAAAGGATTTAATAAATTATTACCACTATTTGCACAATAATCAGGTGAAGTAGTGATTTGGACTATGTTAATTTGGTTCTTTTGGTCTAGTATCTTCCAGTTTTTGACCAAACCTTACTTCTCTATAAAACTTTTATGTGTCTCATTCCCACCAGCCACTAATGCTGGTGTGCGGGCAATTCCTCCAGACTATGCCAGAAGGTAGGGCGGAAGATCCTATTTAGTGAGAAAGGTGAGACGGAAGGAATGTAGACAGAAGAGAATGAATGATTATCTATGGAATATTACTGCTTCAGCATTTGCCTATATGATTCAAGGAACTTTGGATCAAGGTAGACGGACCCGGAATTGAACCACCTTTCTCCCGAATGCTAAGCTGTGGTCTAACCACTAGGCTATGCCGCTCCGTGTACTTCTCTTACACTAAACCCCTGTTATACGGCAGCTGTGACGAGTACGATCGCGGACATTGTAGCATGGGCTATGGCTGTAGATTTTGCTTCAATTTTTTTGTTTGGCCTTTTTTATTTTTCACAGTTAATTTATGCAAGAAATGTGTTAAAGTATTATTAATTTCGTCATTAATATTATCAAACATTCGACTTGGTGGTGGATAAGAGTCGTGAAAAATTGTAATGGAACGAATATCTTCTTTAATTATTTATTGATGCAGTAGCTTCTACAATTCGAAGACGTTCATCACAATGATTTTGTTGTTTTTTCTTCATACGACGTATTGGTCAAATATTAGTTTTCGTGGTAATTACAGTATTACTCCAATATTAAGCAATCATTTTTCTTATTATTGTTTTATCGTCTGGAATGTAATATTTCATCACATCTTTCAACTCACCCAACGTGAATTGACAATCGCCATTATTTTCTATGCAATAAAAAACATTGTCCATGGCAATTCTAATATTTTCATTCAATGGACGGCCTGCGGCACTCTTTCCAGTGACTTACAAAAAATTGGAGAAACATATTTAGCTTAGAAAGATACTAAGTCATACTCAAAATTCACACGCTTCTTTACACTTCTACCATATTTATCACCGCGCGCCTCAGCAGCTTTTAATACTGTGTCTTTAAATGTAGGAGTACTCACTTGTCTAATAGTCTGTATTTTATTTTCTTTTCCTCTCAATTCTTTCACTCGCTTCTTCTCCACAAAACAAACATAATTTTTTGAAATCAAAACAGCTGATTCTTTTCTTACGCGGAGATTTTGGTGTACTCGGTTCTTCTTGGCGTCGTTTGAAAGCCGCAGTAGTCACATTGTTCGTAGAATTTTTACTATGACCATTCATAAAAATCACAGTATTTAAATATTCAATATTACCATCACCTCTGGCGATACTATCATTTTTTAATGTTTGTAGACCACGCCTAACTCTACTACATCACCATCCGATAACAATTCATTACATACAAAACACGTATCACTCATAATGAAAACTATAGCATGAATCTACTAACATGACGTCTTTACCACTCAAGAAATATTTTTCAATCGAACTAAATACAGTCCAACAGGCAGTAGCAGTTGTAAAGTGACGGATCTCGTAACAATAAAATACGGAACATCTGTCGTTTGTATGATATACAGTAGATTCCAAAACCTCTACAATATAAGTATATTTTTCATAAAACGCCCAAGTATCAGATAGAAGTTTTTCAGACACTTAAAGTAAATAATAAAAAGCAATGGAGTTTACGCCTTGGTGTACGGTATACACTTTCCTTCTCAGCGCTCTACTCCGAAAACAGTTAATTTTACAGAAAAATCCAAGAGGTATTTTTTGTAAATAATTTCACGACGAACAATTTTTGTAATGACCTCTATTGACCTTCGAGTAATAGGTCGCGAGATATTCGCGAAAAAATGATTTTCGTGAGCTTTTGACCTTTAAGACTTTCAGCCGGCACGATATCAATGTCGATTTTTCACATCTTCATTACAACGCCATAGTAAAGGTGTATACAAAAATTCAGCTTACTAGGAATTTTTCCCCAAATTGGGGTTTAAAATGCCTAAAATAACTGGACTAAAGGGTAAGGCGCGTCCTAGCGCGTTCTCTGCCTCCTTTCCATCGCGGCGGCGGGCGCTTAAAATGCCGATCCGACCCGCACTCCGCGTAACAAAAACTTAATTTTATTATCCATGCAGGTAATAAGTATGTACTCGTGTTTGAATAACACTCTGTTTAACCGTAAACTAAATTTAATAAATAATGATAAAATATTATGTACGAAAAGGGATATCTAATAATAGACAGTAGCAGAATCGCAGTGTGTAATTTATATAATTTTAAAACAGAAATTTAACACAAATCAACAAAGTCTTAAATATACAACAATCTAGTTTAGTACTCCTGATTTTTTCGATCAAGCATATGAACTTGAAATTGATCTTTTCGCTACCAAGTGTAAACGTCGAAAGAAAATCCACGGTACTTGTTATTTCCAATTTTAAAATAACGGATTTATCACGTGGATACGACCCTCAACTCTATGTAAAGCTTTCAATAGATGCATGCTCTCTTAACAAGTGCTTACCATGAATACGACAGTTATGAATTTTTAAACGTATGAGTTATCCTGACAATTGATAATAGATAACTATCTATAAAGTTACATATATATGAATCAGATGAGCTGAGTATGTCACATATAGACATTTTAAACGTATCCTTACCACCAAGCCGAAAAAGCACTTAGTCCAGCGTGAAGTACGTTATTATGCAAATACAGGAGGGAGTATCATCATCCAGAAGGTATAGCATACCAGTTTTTTCGGTGTTGATTTGTCGTTTCTTACTATTACCAAGAATAATTCGAGTTTTTTATTATTTTTGTACTTACACACACATACACACGCGACTGTTTTCGTTTTCTTCATCATCTCTAGTAGATACGTCGATGTGGATCTCATATTTATATTCTAGATTTGTCTTTTTTGATAAATACAGATGACAAAGGTAAGACCATAGGCAAAATGTGTTTTATCTGTATTATCATACTTGTCAACAGTGACTGTTTTCGGATATTCGCAATATTTTGTAATAGTAACATATGTATGCAGTCTGGAAGTACTATAATTTTGAAATCAAAATCAAAATAAGTACTAAAAACAATTAAGTACATTTTTAAGAGTTTCCCATCAGGAAAATAATTAAGGAGGATTTTCTGTTTGAGTCTCTAACTAATAAAATATTTATATAATATAAAATTGAATAATACTTTCCCGAACTAACTACATTTTATCTGTTTTTAGTACTGAAGAGACAAATAAATTCTTCACACGGTTTTATATTAAAACTCATCTACGAATGTCTGCGTGGATAATTGGAATGATTATGGGATATCTTTTATTCATAACCAAGTCTGAAAAAAATAAAATTGACCTTAATAGGGTAAGTAAATTCGTCGTAAGAACTTGAACGCAAAATATTAAAAATTAATGGCAATTTAGAAAACATGCCAATGATTGAAGTTAATATATGCATGCCATAACAAAAAGAAAGAAAAGTGTTTTTGGAGTTGTGCCCCCTTAAAGATAAGTTATCCAATGACGACTAATAATGGTAAACTGATGAACTATGTATTCGGCGTGGCGAACGCCATCTGCCGTAATTGGTTAATAATTGTGAGTTCATTAATGATTGATGAGATCTCTTTACAATTAAGCATAGAGACTTCTCATGAATCCAAAATGAACTAAAATTGATCGGTGGTTGCAGTATTCGAGCACTGCCCCATAAATGCTTTCGGATTTTTTGGTTGTTGAACAATATGTCACTTTTTTGTTTGTTTTTTTTTTACTTTGTACAATATGAAAACAATGTACAACTTACTAGCTATTTAACACAAACAAAATCGAATATATCTATATTTACAAATATTAATTGAAGACACAACAAAAGACGTCTATTAAGTTGCAATATCTATTAATCTTACGAACGGTATATTACGCATCCAGAGAAGAGAAACCGATATATTAAAATATTTTTTGTAAGAATTTTGAAACAACAGCTGGAAGATAAATAGAAACTAACATTTGACAGAGTAATTTTTTGTTAGAAATGGGAAATACATAGGTACTGCAGCAACCTATACCTACCCGGATGTTAAAAAAATATAATATATTCACAGAAAGTTGAAATATTATTGGTTATCTGTATGCTTCAAACGTCAGTTTGCAACCACTGTGACGGCTATTCAGGCGAAATGGATGAAAACCTTCATCACCTTTTTCATGGATAGTGTCGAAATCTGCTTCCCTCACAAAATATATTTTTTTTGTTTTACGATAAATTGTAAGAAACTGTCGGGCGGTGAGAACGAAGAATATTTAAAACATGAAGAAAGAAGTTCATGCTGGTCAGTATCTGTCGAAACTGCCTGATGCGATTCTCGATTTTGATCTTGTTGTATGAGCGTGTTTCAGACAGTTTTGACAAAACACAGAGCAACTGTCCTGCTGCCTAGATACAGCGTTATATAAAGTACCACAAACGGCGCGGTAAACGTCATATATGGTATAATGCACTTGCACTTTAATAAGTTCAACAAGTTCTATTTATGTTGATGGATATCTACCTGCTGAACTAAATCCACGACAACAAGATCGAAATCGTGATCCGCATCTGGAAGTTTCGACAGAATATTGACCACCATGAATTTCTTTTTTCGACCTGGTTACGTATGGTAAGGTAAGCCGTGGACCAATGTTAGTTAATCTTTTCAATCGAGTGTAATTTTCAAATGTGATATGACATAATACGACTATCCAGTACCTTTACAAAAAGGTATTAAATTAAGTTAGAAAATTAACTATGCTTCAACCAAAGTAATCACGTTGGGAACTGCTAGACCTCCGCTCAACACCAACTATGTAGTATAGGGACGCGATCCAGCCATGCGAAGTTTCGCTACCTCGCACCTGGAAGATAACTACTTAGGATCTAACTGGGGTCAAGTTACCTCTTGAGTAGCCCGGGGGTCGCAAAAATTATCCACAATACAGCTTAGCCCTCTGGACTTTTGATTGTGATATATTGTTCAACATATTCTCTGAGGAATTTTTTACAATCGTAAAGCCTTTTCGATTGCATGAAACGACCGTTTACGGGATTCTGACAGATAGCGGTCTAGCTCTGTTCTACATTTGTGATGGCCTTCTTCGTTTGCTTGAAACGGCTATCTAAAATATTCAGTCAAATAGTGGTTTAATTAGCTCCACCATCATACATTCGTGCTAGCCTTCTTCGCTTAGATCATTCTCCATTTACAAATTATAAAGCGAAACGATGTGGTAGAATACGTGGTCCAAGAAAAGGAAGTCCGTTTAACTCCAAGTCGCACTCTTCAAATTTTCATAAAAATAGTGGTTCCGTAATCATCAAAGTACTTGACCTCTATCGGTTAATAAACTGCTATAAATACAATTTCGTAATAAACGACAACTACAGATAACAGGTATTTTAATTGTGAGATAGTTTATGGGCTTACAGCAGATGTAGCTGCACCTAATCACAATAATTGTAGTAGCGTCGTACGCATTTTGTTGCAGCACGGTTTGAACTAAACTCTCACTTTGGACAAACATTCGTTTCTTGGTTTGATGATTTATTGATAATGTTCTTATGACAGCCTTAAATATTTTCATGTATGTGTAAAAAGTGTTTATCATCCCGAACTAATATCAAGGACAAATCATACACCTACATAATCTTGTAAATAAACTTGCAGTCCCAAATTCTGAGTTTTGATTTTTACTGTTAGCGTATGTTGCTTGTACGACACGCATAAAATAATCTGACCTTTGAAACTTTGACGGTTACATTTACTACAGCTGTTTTTCCATCAATTGCTTGCATAAATAGACGGTTTCCTAAATATTTTGTATTTGTTTACTTGCTCAGGGTATCAGTGGTGTACGCTGCACACAGTTATTCGTATCTATCTCTAGTTTTCGATTTGAATGGACATGGACGCTATTGAAAATCGATGAGTAGATAATTAAGTCCTAAAAAGTTTTTAGCGATTGATAATATTAATAAAAAAGTTAACGAAGACTAATTAGCAGAGATGTTACTAGCTATTTGTGAGAAAGTTTGAATGATCTCTTTGTTCTAAGTTTCTGTTTCAAAAATTTAAGGGTCTTTCATTTTATCTCGATGTACAAAGATTAATGCTTATTCAGGAAAGTTATCTGTACGTATAAGCAATAATTCTTAATTAGTCATCATCTGGTTTATTAAAAAGTTCAGTAAAATTTAATTGACTTGTTTAAAATTATTTGTAAGTCAAAAATTAGGGATAAGTTGCAACCTTGTACTATGTTACTGGTAATAAGCCTTCTCATGAATGCTCATAAAGTATAACGTTATTTACGACCTTTTTAATTACACGATAAAAAATTAAAATAAATTATGGTAAAACAAGAAGAACAGGAGCTTCAGAGTTAGCTTACAATTTTTTATTGAAAAACGTTTTACCTACATTTCGTCGATTGAGGCATCTTCAGGTGTATTGTGTTATTAAGGGCTTGACATCGTATTCGAATTATTTGAATATTCAGATGTTTGAATACCTATAATTCAAATAATTCTATTTCTCAGTTCCAATTTCATCATCAATAATATTAATACGGCGTTGTACAGGTGTGAAACATGGACAGTGGCAGCGTCGGAAAAGAAAAGGTTAGAAGCGTTCGAAATGTGGTGTTATAGGCGGATGATGAGGATATCGTGGGTAGAAAAGGTTAGAAATGAAGAGGTATTGGAAAGAATAGGAGAACAGAGGACTCTATGGAAGTCAATAAAAAATAGGCGAGATAGGTTGGTAGGACACCTTCTCAGGCATGAAGGTCTAGTCAGAGACATATTAGAGGCAGAAACAGCAGTTAGGAGGGGTAGAGGTAGACCTAGATTAGATTACTCTTCGCAAATAGTTAAGAATGTGAGCTGTTCTAGTTTTAGGGAAATGCGAAGTTTAGCTCAGGATAGAAAAGAGTGGAGGTACGTGTCCAACCAGTCTTAGGACTGATGACCTTATGATGATGATGATGATGATGGAACACTTAAGGAACTGTTCTTTTAGTAGCAGTTAATATGTAATATCAGTGGGAAATTAATTTAATTTCTACTACTACTACAGATTGTCGCGAGTTAATGAAGAAAAATTTCAAATCCGTGTCTGTTTAGGTTTTGCGATGACAACCAGACCATTGTTCAGTATGTTCTGAGTAGATTTCAATGAAAACACTGAATATGTTAAATACTATTTAACCTTTAAATTTTCAACTTTTAAACATGTTATATACAGGTACAAAAAGTACGACATATAAACTTGTGTGGTGGATACAGGTGTCGATACTGAGACACTTAACTGTTGGATCATGAATGAATAGTACGATCGCCTTCATCAACATATATGCATAATATAAACGCGGATTGATTAATTTCCGCTTATCAAATTAGAAACACTAAATAATATAAGAATAATTCGGAAAATAATTGACTCATGATTAATATAAAAAACCTCACATATTCGACCAATTCTCCACTGTAGTACTGGCAAATTGGTTTCGTGCAACAAGAGTAAAGCTCCTACTTGAACGTTAGAAGTTGAGCCAGGCTTCGACTTATTTAGGGACTGCAGGGAAGTTAAATATTCCGAGAACCAGCGCTTCCAAAAATGTTGAACTATCGCATGCAATCGCTGATAGATCTTTAGACGATTCAATGCAGATGCGTCGAAGTTTTCCTCCGGCAATGTCATTAAATTGTCACCGATTAGGAAATGGGCCGGTGTTAGGACATTAAAATCATTTGGATCGTTGGAAAGCGATACCAAAGACCTCCAATTAAGTACGACCTCAATTTGACAAAGAACAGTGTATAACTGTTCAAATGTCAACAAAGCGTTTCTAACAACAACTCGGAATAAATGAGGCATTAGTGCAGGAATTAAACTGCATTTAATTGAACTTTCCAATAAAAACCCCCGTACTTCGGAAAATTTGAATGACATATTGATCAATTTTATAAGTTCATTTCTAGTGCCTACAAAGTTTGTGGCATTATCACTATATATCTTTTTACACAGACCTCTTCACGCAATAAACTTTTTCAAGCGATTTTAGTCGATAAATTGTCCAAAAATTCAATGTGAATCGCCTTTGTAACGCAACAGACAAATACACAGATATAAGAAAACCGTTTGTTTTTTGGATCGCAAGATCAATTGACCTGCAAGATCAACGCCAACTGGACTGAAAGGTCTAGCTGGAACAAATCTGGATTTAGCCAAGTCACCCATTCGAACAAATGTTTCTGGAGGTTGAGATTTAAAGCAAGTTACGCAACTGTGCAATACTCATTTAATTGCATTTTTACCATTAACCTGT